GTGGTTTGCCGGGTACCAGGGTTCCCAGCAACGCTACCGCCGAGGAATGTTGCAGGGGTCCTCCCCCTGGCAGAGTGTCCCGCAGCAAAAGGGCTCGGCCAAGAGTCCACGATGCGGTGAATTGCAAAATGCTGTGTCAAGTTTTGTTCAAGTGAAATGATTGGCTTACGGAATGGAGAAAGCACCCAATCACGTCAGTCACCATGGTCACATCATCATTCCATGGATGTACAGTGCGCTGCACCTCCGACTAACGTTTCAATATTGCATTTTGTAAGCATTTCAGGGACTTGGTGTAAACGCAGTCTCAGGGCCTGAATCGACCTGTGGGCTTCGCAAACGCGAATTTCATGGTTTCAAAAGAATGTTGGAAATCAAAAACCCAATCAGCCAATCGCTCACTTGACATGCAATTTTGCAGGTTAGGTATAGGTTAAGAGTGCCCGAAAACCTTTCAAATTCGATTCCAAGAATTTGGCCACTTCGTCGTTTCTAGCTTTCTTGCACCATATATGGAACTTTGTATGCTCAGACCACCTCACTAGGGGTTAAGTGCATCTCAGTGGTTAGCGTTAGCTAACCACTAGCGATGCAGTTACCCGGAGATTTAGAGAAAAGGTGTATCCGGATGTAATAATTCCCTCATTGAAACAGTATTTCGGGTCAAAACAACAGTGGAACTGTTTTAATGAGGGAATTATTCGATTTTACTGACATTTGTCGCACAATACAAACACAAATTTGAGGATAACTTCCCGACAACGACGAATTCTAAAGTTCTAGAATGTACCATGTATTTGTCGTGACAAGGAGTACATTATATCCAAAAATCAGCCGTTTCTGACCAATTTTGGATAAAACGTCCTAAAATTAGCTCATTTTGGTGCCTGTCCTTACCTTTTTGTCGCGCACTGTACTGTACTAGTACCATTTTATGGAAAAACGTCCATTAACGTTAGCTATATATACAAAAGTTATGATATTAATACAAATTTACATTGTTGCCATGCTACTCAATCCGTCGCTTGCTGTTGGGTACGCGTGTACTGGAACTTGAGCACGGCATTGTCCTTTTTGAACGCATCACTGGCCCCAAATGCCCTCTTGGACGTCGTCAGGCCCATCGAGCCAGCAAATTCAACCAGCTTTTGCATGTACGTGACACGTTGGTCGTCTTTGAACGGCAACAAGTACCTGTAAATCACCAACTATAATGAGTATAAACACGCGCGACGGAAGTGGATCTTCCGAGTGCCGTACACTGACGACTCGACCGACACCTTGGCGTCGTCCGCCAACAACGTAGTCATGGGGGCGTCCACGTCCGGGGACGTGACCAAGTTGGTCGCGTGCACCGATACATAGACGTGGTGGAATCTACGCTGGTACCGACGCTTCTTGGCCAAATCCGCCGCAGCCCCCGACAGGAGAATCACCTATCCCCGACAAATAATATCTCATCCATCGTTGATATGTCAAGTTTGCACTTCGGTGTGTACCTTGACGCCTTCAAACGACTCGACAATGCGTTGCGCACGCTTCCGCGCATCCACGTTCTCCCTGCACAGCCATGTGTTAAATGACAGGAACATGGAAATTATGCAATGGACGCACGCGTCATCATCGTGGTCTAGCTCTTCAAAGCGCGACAATTCGTCGCCACGAGGGCCGTTGTTGTTGGCTTCTGGGCTGTTATTGTCCTGAACTGGTCGATCGCGAGCTTTGCCGTCTTCGATTTCACCAATGCCGCTGTACACATCGTGTGCCTGGCAAATACAGGGGTTAGCTGCAAGTTCACGACAAAAAAGGCAGATATGCAATATGCCACTCACTGGTCACAAAACCAGTTAGTGGATGTCATGCCAACCTTTTTCATTTTGTAGATGTCGCCCGTTTCAATCTCGTGCAGGTGGGAGAGGACGTTGAACACGGCGACTTCGGTCGTGTTCTACACACCACCCAATGGGTCGTACACGATAACGTCAATGTGGATTGTCGCATATTACGTGGCGGTTTTGCTCGCATCCGCTTCCTTTGTTGTGGATTTCAAAGATCCCATCGGCAAATTTATTCGACTACACAGTAGGAGCCCGTAGCCACACACTTTGAGTTCAATTGTGGTTTGGCTGTAGTTTTTTAATCGACGTACGCGGTAACAGTCGACACCAAATGAAATGTACGGCCCAACCACAATGTCCAGCCAGTAGCCCCGGCAGCTCACGGACCCATGACCTTTCTTCACGGCCTAGATAACATGCATGATCGAGTCAGTCTTTGGCTGCCATAAGCTACACTCTTGGCTTACATCCGTGTACGACGCCATCGTTCGATTCGGAGCAGTGTATTGCTGGTCGCCAAACTCAAACGCAATGCCGGTGTTGCGCCACTCTTTGAACTGCTTGATATGGATGACACTGGCGTCTTGGATTTTGCGCAGCGACATCTACCCCAAGTGGCATTGTTCACAACATGGTCAAGTGGTCTGAATTATCTCCACGAATCAACTCGAACCGTGTAATCCCAATCGACCAAATTGTTGCGGTAGTCGTAGCGATTCTCATAGTAGTGGCGCAGCCGTTGGTCGCGCAGGCGCTCCACTGGAAACGGTGTTAAATACTAGCGCATTTGTTGCGAAAGTCGGATCGACGTACAATTGAATGGCACGTTGGTGTGCCACGACTGGAACGTCTCGACCAACGCGTCGCGGGACTTCATCTTCAAGTGGGACAAGTCAATGACATCGGCGAGGCGCCCCGACTCGTTGCAGACAAGCTCGACCAGCTGCTTCGCCTTCTCTTCAATGTACTCGGCCGTGCGTCCCTACCATTCTTACACGTCAGCTACGATGGCATACATGTGCACACCTGGACTAGGGCGTTGCCAAACACTTCGAGGAACGTGTTGCATCGCTGGCGAAGGGGGACTTCCCAGTCGTTGACGATTTGGAGCAACAACAGTGCCCGCGCCAAGCATTCCGGGGACTTTTCGTACAGGTAAATGTGCAGCGGACGCTTCTTCCACCGTCGAGAGCGCGCAATCGTCGCCAGGACATGCCGAATGTCGCCCGGACTGAGCACCAACACGCACAATGGTTCGGACGACGAGGTCGAAGCATCCACTTGGTTCGAGTCAGCGCGAGGCTCGGACACGCCTTCCTGGAGGTCAAATCCCGGAGAGAAGCCCCACATTCCATGGGTTCCGAGGGAGAGAAGATGGCCCGTCTTGGAAGTCGACGTCATGCCGCGATCGTAGAAGGTTTAGAAAGATTTGCTGGGGCGTTCAACGTTCGAAAGGGCACGTTATCCGGAAAATATTTGTAACGGCGCCGGTTACTGTATCTGGACAATGCCGGAAAATTTCGTAACGGCCTTCACACATTGCAGTGCGAGCGAAGATCCAACTTGTCGCCATCGTGCTACTGTACTGCATGAGGTATTCGATGCTTGTGGATATGGTGGCCTGTTAACATCAATGTATGCAGTAGCGAAGTGACCGTGTACAGTTTCAAGGCCGCGTTGTACTCGCTAGACGAATCGTCGCAAGAGTGGCTGCTTAGCGATACCAATGACGATCCCGTCGCGCAGTATTACGTGTTCATGGACAACGCGGACGTGCCCAAGTTTCGCATGGTGGGCTGGGTAGAGGATTCCGGTGACGTGGTGCTCAACAATGCGCTCACAAAGCACTGCATCTGGCTTCCTGTGAATGAGTACTTTGTCCAGTTCACCACTCCCGACGACATCACCGTGGGTCTCTCGTTCGCCGACCTCGAGCAAGCGCAAGAAGCGTCCACGATCGTGCTTCGCATTCTACAAAACCTCGTGAACGTCGCTACCTCAGAAAGCAACAACGCGCCACGAGAATATTCCGAAGGCGGCGAAGTCGATGCATTGTCCAAAACGACGTCGGAGCTCAAGGAGGTCATCCACATGATTCAGCTGGTTCACACAGTTCTGACCTTCACGTAGTACCTCACATTCGTCCGTACGCATGGCACGTCATCCCTCGAGTACCTCCAAGCATGCGCCGAGGCAGTGCATGTCGTGGTACTGATGGGGCTCTTCACGATGATGTCAACTCTTACATCTCAGCATACTGAGAATGCGTAGGACGACGTCGACACCCTCTTGTCGTCCGAAGCACTGGACCGTGTAGACGACCGTTTCAAGCATCGCTCCGCTCCGAGCTTTTTATCCGACGACGACCGCCGCAGCCTTCGATTGCAATACGCCGCCGCCCAACTTCACCAATCGCTTGTGCCGCCATCGCGCCGAAGTTCATCCAGTGCGCCGCCACCGCCACCAGCTGCGGTGGCTATGAAAGACGTCGACTTTCGACGAGGCAGTGCGCCGCTCGGGTGCCTCATGCCACCCTCGTTGCGGCGGTGTTCGTCGTCCATCAACAGCTCATTATCGTCGTCGTCCCGATGCAGTTCTCGGCGTCAGTCGTTGGCCAATTTTGACGAAGTGGAGCGGGCGACCATGGCCGCCGTGGACAGCAACCTCCAAGACGAAGAAGGAGGAGAGCGAACGTGCAACAGTCCTGCCTTCTTGCGCGGTGGGTAACTATGTCTTGGCTCGTGTTAGCAGCTTATCAGAGGAGCAGCACGATTGTTGACTTGGTTGTAGCTACATTTGGAACGTACACTGGTGTTGGGCCTCGAACGTCGTCCAGCAGCAGTGCCACGTCAGACCATACAAGTGTCATCAGCCGGCCGTACGAAGCCAAGCAGGAGATGCACGTGACGTTTAACGCGGTGTTGGCTCGGTATGAGGGGCTACCGTTGGCGTGGGTGGGCCTCAACAAGCAGTTTGGACTTCCCATGGAAGCCATGCCGAAGCGAGTCGTCGACGGGTACGACAGCAAGATCCCGGCCGTCTTGCAGATGATGAAGGAGTACTTGGTGCTGCACGGGGGCCTGGAGACGGAGGGTATCTTCCGCCTCGCGCCGGACAAAGAGCAGTGCAGCCGCGTGAAGGACGCCATCAACAACGGATCGTTTGGCGGTTGCAACGATGTGCACATTGTCGCCAATTTGATCAAAGTATGGTTTCGAGACCTCCCCACGAGCTTGTTCAATGTCATTCCAGACAAAATTATGTACAAAACGTGTACCCTCAAGGTAGGTGGTATACCAACACTCGAATGTCGTTTGTAAGAAATTTATAGACACCAGAAAGCGTGATGGACATGCTGGCGGATGTGCCCGAGGCCAGCAAAATAGTTATCCTGTGGTTGTTGGACTTGATGGCCGAAGTCGTCAAGCACGAAAAGGCGACTAAAATGAGCTCCAAAAACATGGGTATTATTCCTAGCACGACACAATGCACAAATGTGTGGGTTCATATGACTTCTTTGTTTTTCTGTGTAGCGATTGTGTTGTCGCCCAACCTGTTTAGCATCGAGTCAGACAACCCCATGGTCGCGCTAACCATGTCGCAGAAAGTGGCCGAGTTCACCACCGTGTTGTTGAATGCTCGGCTGGCGTTGCATCACGGATATGTCAAGTAACAATACCAGCTAAACCACTAAAAGATTCTCCAGTTATAGCGTTGTTTATGCCAACTCAGTGTCGGGGGTCGACGGAGTCTTGGTGGCGTGGACGTCCATCATCGTCGCCTTCAAACTCATTCTCGTCTTGGTGGTGTCGGGAGGATGGATGGTGGAGGTTGTAGCCCCCGTCAAGTTGGTGGGCTTCGTTAAATATGTCGCGAATGTCGTCCTTGGTCATTCCGTCGGCCGCGTCGGCGGCATGCGCGGCGGCACTACTCCCGGGCAGCGGGAACGCTTTGGCGTAGAGCAACCCGAGTACCCGCTCTTGGGACAACAGGAGGTCGATGACTTTTTGCCGATCGGAGGCGGCAAATGTCGTGCCGAGCACCGAGATGGTATTGGCAGTTGATGGAATTGCGGTGGACGAAGGAGTCGCGTCGTGTGTGTGTGTGTGGAGCTGCCCCTTAACGTCTTCGATGCACTGCTTGACGAAGATCGAGAGCTCCGTGTGGGTCTGCAAGTCGGTCGTGTACGCGTTGCGCACTTGGCGCAGGTTGCGTCGCTCCACTTCCAGCACGCGTTTCAACCGCTTGATGATTTCTTTGTAACGATTGTCCACCTAAACACATACATATACATTCCAAACGTCAACTTAGCTGGGCATGGTCAAAACGATAGGATACCTCTGGGAGTGATGGAGCAAAGGTGGTGGTGCCGGGTAAGGCGGGAGTGGACGGCGCGCGCTTGACCACACTTGGCATTTTCGACCCTAAGGCGTGGGGGGGTTGCTTTCGAGGGGGCTGCTGCTGTCGCCCGTTGCGAGGGGCGAACTCGAGCTCTTCCAGCTGGATGGAGGCTTCTTCTCGTGTGCGTTCGGCTTCTTTCACGGCGTCCGCGAGCTCTTTGCGCAATCTAACCCACGAGAAAAGTCAGTTTGAGCTCGGCAAAGAATGAACTCTAGTGAGCGTACCGGACGTTGTCCTTTTTCACCGTCACGAGCTGGCGCACGAGAAACTCGCGGTCGTTTTCTTGCATCGAGAATTGGGTTTTTAGGCGCTGATTTTCCCGCGTGAGGCTTTGGTTGAGCCGGTCCAGTCGATCCGCCATCTCCTTGGTCCATTCGACTTCGGTCTCGAGCTGCTTGCTCTTGTCAATCCAAGCGGACGCGCCGTCGTCCGTCTTGTTCTTCTCCGTTTCGAGCTCCTCCTGGACGCTGTACAGCCGCGCCCGAAACGCCCGCAACAAGTCCTTTTCCTGCTCTACAAGATGATAGATGCAGCAGGAAGCCACCGAGTGAGAATATCTATCACGTCCGTATTGACGTTCGTTGGGGGCATATTGATCAGTGTGCAAGATGGGACAGAGTCAAGATGGGCAACCTTGCAAGATCTTGCCCGTTCGCTCTTGTACTTGCGAGATGCTCCCAAGAATGCTCTTGTGCAATCCCCGCAGGGACGTCATGGTGTCTTCGTGGGACACTGACGAGGCTTTCTTGGCCCTGGACTACGAAAAGGAACGAAGTGAGTCGAAGTTGGAAAAGTGAACAGGCGAGTAAATAGTAGATTACATCCGACACCATGCGCTCGAGCTCTTCAATGCGCACTTGGTACTGACGTTCTCGTCGAACGTAACTTTCCTAAAAACGGCAAACGTACAATGTAGGATGAGAGTTGCCATGTATTTGGTGGCGTAAAGCCTCACCTGTCGACGGGCAAGGTCTTGCTCCAGTTTGTCAATCACACTCTTCATGTACTCTTCATCTTCTGTGTGAAGTGGTCCGGTGGTTTCCCCTGACACGGATGCTGTCTTGGCTCGGTACTTGTCTTCCACAACCTATCCATCGTAAGAGCGAAGGGGGGGTGGTCTGACCTGGTCCAACCTGGTGGGATTTGGTGGTCTTGCGATCGAGCTTGGGAGTTCGCCCCGTGACCACCCCCTTGCGCATGCCGAGCATCGATGGTTCCAAGTCGTGTCCTTCAAGTCACTGGCTAAAAATAGCGCTAATGGGTGTTGATACAATCAATATTGCATTGAGCAGCATGCAGCTTCCAACCTCATCAGTGCGTTCACCACCTGTGTAGGCCTTGTTGGGTTAGCGTTATTTGACTCGTTAACGGTTAACATTACCATGTTTGCAGCTTACTAGTATTTGTTGTGATGCCACTACTGAGCACTGAATTCTACGTTTTTTTAGCAGCGAAAGTTGAATTCTTGAAATCATTTTTTACAGTTACCCCATAATTCACCTGGGACAATCAAGGCAATTCTACTGGCAGCCGATATCTGAATAGAGGAACAGATAGAGACAATGTACCAGTCCATTCCGATGGCGTGACACGTATTTAGAGCGTGCAGTTTGGCTTTTGGTGCGACCCACTTGCAGTGTCCACCGATACAGATATTGTTTGCTTTGTCAGCCCAACCATGGAATAAGGGCACATATTTGTTGGTACTCCATCAATTACTACATCATGAAGCACTCTAAGGTACTAGTTACTACAATTGAAGTTGAGTTTATCGAGCCAAACTACATTGACATGCATGAAACCTCCACAACTTGACTTCTTTGTTCATTTGAAACCGCAACATGATATCTGTAACCGACTCCAATCCTCGAAGATTAGAGCATGTGGTCAAGGCGCCCCGGTTGTGCAAGGCGCATTTTGCCTATTTTGAAGCTCAATTGCGTCCAACTCACCAACGCACCCCGGGGCGCAAATTCTCGAAACCTTGTTGCATTTGTGTTGCCCTTTCTTTCTAACATTCGACGAATGTCTTGTGGTTAGTATCTACACTTTAACAAAGTAGGTAGATACTGTTCGAATATTCCACACACAAAAGCAGCGGTGTCGCGACACTAGCTACATTCGATCTTTTGCTGTGTACATCGTATTCAGCAAAGTTCAATCCCTGCAGGCAAGTATGGACCCCCGTTTGATGTGCCACTTCGACGACGCCAGCGGCTGCGACTCCCCCCGCAGCAGCCACCTGTCCGACGAAGACGAACTTCAACGGGTAGCTCGCCTGCAGGCCAAGAAGGCCATGATTGTGCAATCCCCCGTGTGCAATTTTGAAGCCTTCAGTCACTTCTTTCACCTTCCCCTGAAAGCAGCGGCGGAGAAGTTTGGGGTGCGCGCCACTGCATTCAAGAAACGGTGTCGCTCCATTGGCATCCGACACTGGCCGTACCGAAAGGTTCGCAGCCTCAAGCGGTCCCTTCAAGAGCTCAACCGATGCAAGGAAAACGGGATCCTGAACGACAAGCAGTTGTACCAGTTCGACACGTTCAAGAAACAGCTAGACAAACTCATGTCCCCCGTCACTTATGGTGCGCAGAAACTGCCCCTGACGTTCATTCTTGCAACTTTGGTCACTCACGATATCATCTTTCTTCAGGGATTGACCCCTCTGGCCAGCTGATGCATGCATTTGTCGACGATGACGACGATTTCGACTCGGGGGATGACATGTGCTCTGTGGAGAGCCCCCGTTACGGCGCGTCGTTCTCCGACTGCTCCATTAGTCCCTCTGACATGGACAAATCCTCGCAAGCGTTCCCCGACTACCCCAACGACATGCACACCAACTCGTTTGACAAACTGCCGTCACTGAGAAAGCCATCGATGGTAGGCACTTCCCCTTGGAATTGTGAACGTTTCGGGATGTTCATCCTCGATATAGAACACTGCCTTTCAGTGCATACCTCGAACGATCAATGTCCCCGTGCTGTCAGACATGCCCGCCCTCACGTTACGCATGACGTCGAAAGATATGTCGTCCATGCATGCTTCCAAGATGGCGCCCCCTTCGGCGGCGATGGACACGTACTTTGATCGCCCCATGCACATGCACCATCTCGATGAGTACATGGACCACCATCATGACGCCGAAGGCCACGACGAACATGTGTGCCCTATGGGAGACGATGATATCATGCTCACAGATATCAAATATGAAGACGACGATACCGCCTTCCACGACGGCGTCGACTACGGAGGCGAGCGCTTCTTTGATGACGTGTTCCTGCAAATCTCCCCCGACTACGGCTGTTTAGTTTAGGCTACGGTGGGGTAGAGCGTTAGATATAGCCAGCCATAGTACATAGTCGTACGTGCGGCTTGTAAAACTACGAATGTACACTTATTCCACCACTCAACTCCGGGTAGAGAAAACGCGATTTACAAGTATAGCGACTTTTTCATCCTGATATGCTAGGCATAGTTAATAATATCACTACAGTTACACCTAGTACCGACACGAGGTTAGCGTCACAGCCGTCAACGTAGCCACACTTCAAACATTGTAAGTCGAAGCGTCATGGACGACGACGCATGATTTGCACTCGGCTTTGGAACCATGTGCTGTTCCGCACAGTAGGGGGGAGACTATTGGTATGGCGCTGGCGTCGTTGCGGTTCGAAGAATGCATCCACTCTGCTTTGGGGAGCGGCGTTGAGGGGAGGTGATGAAAGCGAATGCAACGTTCTTTGCTCATGTAACGAATGTAACGTTCTTTAATTATATAACGTTACTTGTCTTGTTAGTTGAGACCAGTGTGAAGGCCGGACGAGGGCATGGGTGGAAGGGACTGCGCCACGAGCTGGTTGATGATGGAAAACCTCGAAGTCATTGAACCTGCGGTCGATAATGGCACCGGTGGGGCCGCTCGATACGATAATAGACGACCTCCCGTCGGTTGACACGATGAACCGAGTAGTTGGCAACGTAATACCCCGTCCAGAGGGACAGGTAATGAATGCTGCATTCTCATGGAGCAAAGGTTTGTGTAAAGGCAATGGCGGGATGGGGAATTTTTGGCCCCCATCGCCGTGCACCTTGAAACCGTGACTCGGAATCGCAGTCCACGTGTGCCAATTGGCTATACCGCCCAGCTTGTGGAGCTTCGACGATTGTCACCAAAGTACAAACTCGACGAAGATTTTCAGGATTAGGACATGACGACTAATTGCATGGTCATCCCGTAATGCGGGCTAGTAGGAAGCAACAGCTTGGTTCATTTCAGCTCCTGGCCACAATACTTCTCGAAAGTGAATATACTGGCTCTGCTACGAGTAGTTGCGTTCCTGAACACCGTGTGATTGCACTTTTGCGTAGTTGCATATCATTTTCAAGCCACGACGTGTGTAGATGTAGTGCACAATGTTAAGTTAACGCGACAGTCGTTCAATCGGTAGGAACACTGGCATTGCAAGTCTCCACTGCGAGGGTTTTCTCGACGTCGTTGCCTCCAAAAACGACGTTAGCATTTGGATCGAGGAAAAGCACGACACGGTCACGGGGGGCGGCTCGGATGATGTCTTGGAAGCGCAAGCGGCGTGCCTGGATGAGGCCTAGATCTCGCCTGTTCAACGCAGTGAAGAAGCCGGCTTCGGGCATGGGGGGTACCACCAATTGGATGTCGTGATGGAATGTTTTAAAATCATTGAATCGTTTCTTCGCAGCTACGCCGTAAGCTTCGACATGGTACAAAACGACCCCTTTCTCGTCGATTGAATGGTCCACGATCACCGCGGCATTTGTAGACTCACTAGATGCAGAATGCGGTGGGGAGTGGGCTTGGCTGATGGCTGCAGGGTCGGCGGCGGTTGTCGATTGCTTGCAACCCATGTCGTCTTGAGGAATGAGCTACATACAGTACATGTATGCCATATACAATAATACCGGCTGCTTGGTCCAGCTGCTGTACTGAATATTAATTCCATTCCTATGCGCGAAGTATTACAGATTCACATAACGTTACCACTGCTTTCCTCTCCCGTACATTGCAATGGTGTCGTCCAACTTTTGCAGAAGGAATTCAGCAAGATATTATTTCGTAGTACATGCACTGCATGCTACTGCACTGTCGTTTGGATGTGGTATCGAGCCCTGATAACACCAAGCAAGTACAGCAAGACCAGACTTCCCCGTGCGCCCCCTTTTCGACAAATCCTGACAGCCAAACTATAAATCAAGGTTTCATTAGAACATCTGAAGGACTAAAGACAAGAGCAAGCAAGTCAAACAAACTGAATAGTCGTTACGTTGTTGACATTATGTGGTTGCGGCTCGAACTTCATTTGTCATGCTGTTTTTTTCGGTCGTTGCAGCCATTTTATCACAGATTCGTGTTGGAATCCAATGCTTCGATATTGATGACGGGATGGCGAGAAATTCTGCGACATGGTCTGGTGGTGCCACGCTCAGGATGTCGTCAAATCGAGCTCGTCGGTCTTGAATCAATGCCGGATCACTGCGTTTGAGGGCGGTCAAGATACCAGACGAGGGGAGGGGGGGTATGAGAGGGAATACGCGTTGAAGGCAGGCGTGGAACACTTTAAAGTCCGTGAATCGTTTGTTTACCACGCCCCCCCCGTTGGCTTCGATGTGATAAATGACAATGCCGTTGACGTCAACCGAGTAGTCATTGATGAAAGGGCGACCCCGTTCCTTCACGTCGACGTGCTGTTTAACTTCTGCCATGTCAGGCACGTTTGATACTGCATTGCTGCTCCATTGGATCGAAGCGGGGTCTGGCCCCTTCGCTCCTAGGAAGGATTGATTGCATCCCATCGTCTCGAAGCGAAATAAAATGAACTGACTCGCATTTGCTTCATGAGAGTCCAATGGTCGTGTACAGTAGAATTAGGGAATCAAGCCCCTTGCCAGATTGAAATTGTTGCGAATCGAAATGAAACGGCTCTATGCTCCAGAGTACAGTGCAAGTGATGGGGCGTGGTACTGGTACAGTACTACTACCTCCGTCCGAAAATGTTTGCTACAACCAGCAGAAATCGTGGATGAACTTGAAAATAGATGAAGTATAATGTTCAAAAGGTATGTATTTGTAGAGGAGAAATCATGGATCACCAATAGAAGATCTTCGCACCAAAAAACATCCAATCAAACCAGCAATCATGCATGCAAAGCTCGATACTTTATCCAATATATGTAACATGGGCTCTGCATCGTATCCGGATATCCGATTACGATAAATAACATATATCCGGATGATATGCACTGACAAACCCTTTCAAACTGTCATGCGCGGGATACGTGAAAAATCTGACGAACACGGACCGCAATGCCATCCTCCAACGGCTGCTAGCACTTGTCAGGCCGCAATCATCGACTCAAAGATCGACGAACTTGCCCAAGAGACAGCGTTGACGATTGAACTGAGCGAATTTTGCTCCCAACTCGAGCTGCTTGTGGTTCGAAGCAATCCCGATGCGGACGACTATTTCGATGACGACGATGACCCGACGACGTAGAAATTGACCTCGACGAGCTCTTTGGTACTTTGTAAATAAATGTCCTTTATATTGTATGTGGATGTTTGTCGTTTTACAGTTTTCAAGTACTGTGCACTTGTAGCAAACTTTGTCGAACTTCAATAATTGAGTTTGTAGCAAACATTTTCGGACGGAGGTAGTACTTTATTAACTAGTACAGTACACCTACACCATTCATTGTGTTGGAAGTGAGTGGCAGGATTAGGATATAAGATTTACTAAGTAAAGCTGTAAAGCTATGAAGTCTCGCATGTAACTTTGCGTAATCGTCTTGAGCATTGTGTCCATTGTGTTTGCCACTCAATATATGGCAAACATGTCAACTTGAACTTGCTCTCAAATTCCCGCCGCGTTGCAACTTCAACCTGTGCGAGTTGATGGCCTACAACGTATAAAGTATCACAGGTAATAGGATATTCCTTGGAACCAACATGACCGATGCTGCCAACCAGCGCAGGTACGGCCGCCGGTGTTTTCCATCCGTTCATACATGCTGTGTAAATACCTCGTAACGTTAGCGGGGAATCGACGAGATGGTCGGGCGGATTCACAGAGGCAGAACTGCAGGCAGCTGCCTTCCGACGCCGCATGAAGGAAGGCGGCGCGAAAGAAGTGGTCGAGTTACAGAAGGAGAAGAAAGCCAAGAAGGCCAAAAAGGCCAAGAAGTCCAAGAAGAAGCATCGCCGTGAGGAAAAGGATGAATTTGGACGTGATATTCTACCGGGATTCACGCCACCAACGCCGCGGTCCCCGTCAGAGTGCTCACGGTCAAGCTCTCCGCCGCCGGACCCCGTGCGACCAGACGTACGGATCTCCATGGCATCCAGTGTTTGTCATCACCATTCGTAGTTGGATGAACAGCGGCATAATATCAAGCGACAAAGACGTCCAGTGAGTAGTCGAAGCCCCGTCCGTGGTCGAAGTTTCGATCGAAGTCGCAGCCGCGAGCGAATCTCACGTAGGCGGAGTCGAAGCCGCAGCCGCAGTCGCAGCAGAGGACGACGACTGGACGTGACCAAGAAATCGTGGACACACGACGCGTATTTCAACCGCAGCCCCAGCCCCATCCGACAAGTGGATCCGTTCTACAAGCCCAATCCAGAATCCTGGGTGTCCCGCGCCGGCGGGGTCTACCTTCCCAAGAAGTAGGTCTCTAACTGCTGCTAAACAAGCCCTATTGTTTGCATTGATCAGTCCAATCTTCATGTGCGTCATCCACGAGAAGGATCACAGTAGTCAATCCGACCGTTACACGAAATATACATATTAATACTTCGAGTATTATGATATGGTACACCGAAAAAATATGATATTTGTGCCCTACCCCTTAATAATTTCTGATTTTACACCAATCCAAATTACGTGAGTTTGCTTGAAATTCTGATGATTTCACGCAAAAAGGTCAAAAGGTCAAAATGCGTGCGACCACGAGGGACTGGGACTGGGCCTGCAGCGCCCCGGTGGTTCAGTGCGACGACCCAACAAGTAGTCCGCCATTGCCACCACATGCGAAGAGACCTTTCCTTGTGGAGTTCATGTTGGCGGGTAGTGCGACAGCGTTGGCCACGATTGCGTCGAATCCGATGGAGGTGGTTAAGACGCGAATGCAATTGCAGGTACCGTTCTCGAGGGTCTGAAGATACGTCATGTAGCGTCCTAGGGCGAACTCGCTGGTAAAAATGACCGTCTAGCGTACCGTAGCTTTCGGCATGCGCTCTACATGATTGGCAAGACGGAAGGCATCCGCGGGCTTCAAAGTGGCCTCGTGGCTGGCATGGCGTACAACGTAAGTTGATGCCATCAGATGTGATTTAGCTCATGCAATCACGCAGGTGGTCATGAACGGCGTCCGTCTCGGCGGGTTTGGGAAATTGCAACAAGCTGTGGGGGCCACCAACCCCTCGGACCCGACATACTTCCTTCGGAATGCTATGGCCGGCGCCATGTCCGGTAGAATTGCTCCCATCATACCTGCATGGTTTCTGACTACTTCACTTGTTAATAGGCTCCATTGCAGCTGTGTTTGGAAGCCCATTCTTCCTTGTCAAGGCTCGTTTGCAAGGCCAACAACGCAACCCCATCGTCCGCACGCCCTTGAGGCACAACTCGACACACCATTACTCTAGCATGGTACAGTGGTTTCTCAAGCCACTGGAACTTCACCACTATGGCCTGAGTAGATGGATGGATTCCGTCAAATTGTGCGCACCGAAGGTCCCTATGGTTTGTGGCGGGGGACTCGCAGCCAAATGGCTCGATTAGCTGTACGATATACAGTATATACCTGCGTAATCATCTCGAACATGATGACGTATCAGGTCGGCACAGCCGCTCAATTGTCGACGTATACATCGTCCAAGCACGCCGTGCAAACCTGGATGCAGTTGCCAGATGGAGTGTGGGCTCACATTGGAGGTAGGGCTTTCCAATCCCATACATTCCACTGCGCTTCATAACCAGTCTGACAACACAATTATCATGCTTATAGCTGCGGCCGTTAGCGGCTTGGTCGTCACAACATGCATGCATCCGTTCGACGTGGTGGCGACGCGGCTGTCCAACCAGCCTGTTGTAGCTGGTCGGGGCCAGCTATACAGCGGGGTGGTGGACTGCTTGCGAAAGATATGGGCGACTGAAGGCCTGCGGGGGCTATGCAAAGGATGGACCGCCCACTACTTTCGCGTGGGGCCGCACACGATGTTCACGTTCGTGCTGTGGGAACAGCTGCAGCGACTCGCCCACGAGATCGCGGGGCTGTAGCTGACTACACTCTCTCCACCACGTTGACACTATTGATTTACAGTTAAAATAACCAAGAGATCTATTTAATTCCTGCACAATTGCTTCAGCAGCCGCCTCAGTTTGCGCGCCGTGGCCACGTGGGGCTGTCGCATCAACTCGACAAACTCGTTCTTGACTGTAATCGCTACCCCTGGTTTGGGAAACGCTGCATCTGACGTCAACACTTGGGTGGTCCAGAGCTCCAGTTGCACGGGCTCGAACGCACGCCCCGCGTGCAGAAATGTTTCCGCGACGGCATCCATGGTGTCATCCAAGACGGCGGTCGGTCCAAGGCGGGTGGTGGCGGCAAAGAGGCGCTGGAAGAACGCTGGCATGCGTGGCACGACGTACGACCAGACGTCGTGGTGGAACGAATTTGGGGGATGCATGATTGCCTTATTGGATGACGATGAGGCTGCAGCCAGATGAGCCCACTGCCACGACGCTTGAAAGAACCGAAACAGACTCGGGTTCGCACACCCGAGGCTCAACGCTTCGGTGGCGAACGCGAAGAAGAACTCGAAGCACGCCGCTCGACCAAACAACCACGGGGCACTCGTCCCCCCGATGATGACAAAGTCAAACACCCCCGCGACGAGGTCGTCGTCGGCTAGCGACAGCTGGGACGCGCGGCTCGCGACGTGCGAGAACGTGAGCACGAGCAGCCGGTTCAGGTCCGCCGTCTCGTTCGACGCACAATGCAATGTCGAAGCAACGGCATCGAGGAAACCACGGCAGCCGGTGGCGTCGTACGCGTCCATAAACATGGGGATGACCGAGAGCGCCAGGGAGGCTGCGTCGACGCCGACATGCCGAAACAGCGTCGAGAACACGACGCTGACCTTGGACTGGATCGGCAACGACTGGGTGTGCGTGAAGATCAAGTGCAAAGTGGACCAATTCAGTTGGAACACGTGCAACATGGGGTGCGTCCCACGACTCGAATGTGGCGGAAGCGGGGGCGGCAGCGAGGCTACGAGGGTTTGCAGGTGGCCCAGCACGAGCATGAGGCTCTTGCGGGCATGGTCGTTGCTCTGGGGGACCAGCGTTTCCATTTCGTCAAACATGACTCCGCACAAGTCGACGACGGCGGGGGTGGCCGTGTCGTAATAGTTGTCTGGTGGCACGGCCGCCACGGCCGCATATGCCTCTAGCACGAGCCCGAGGCTCTTGTCGGTCATTTTGGGGGCGACGTGGAGGTTGGCGCAGTACACAGCTTTCATGGCTTGTAGCCAGTGCAGCTCGGAGGACGACGATGCCATGAGATTAGCGCATCGGGAGCTCATCTTGACGAGGGCAACTGCGCCAATGTGGTCTTCGGCCACGCGCATAGGGCATATTGAGTCGTCCTCGGAGCATTCAAAGCATTTGGACAGAATCACGTAGATGGCGGGGAGGGCGGCAGGGTGTTGTGCTGTCCACGTGTGTAGGACGCTCAAGAAGACAGCGGTCGTGCGCAACAGCGACTTCAACACCACATCCAGCGAAGACGATGTACAAAGGCGGGCGAGGTTGTCTAGGATACGGAACACAAACATCTCGTCTGAATCAGGGATGATCTTGGCCATGGCACTGAGCGCGTGGAGGTACATCTCCAGCTTGGACAGGCGAATGGTATTTCGCGCAAACTCTTCAAACAACAATGTCGTGAGCTCTTGTACGAAATGGTGCTGGTAGTGCAGCGCTGGCTGCGTGAGCGACCGAAACACTGTGCGCATATCCTTGCGGTACTGGTAAAAGTCGTCGCTCGCGTGGTCTGTTAGTCGTGCGTACTCTGTGCTTTGAAGCAACACATGCAGCACTTGGTGCACATATGGATCCAACTTGGCACTTGCCGATGGATTGATTGCAATCCACGCACGCAAGTCGGCCCAGAACTCGACCGTTTTCACAGCTACGTCGACGTTGGCATGGGCTGTGAACGCCAAGAGCACGTCCAAGAACAACGAGGTCTCAGACGCAGTGGCATCTAGCACTTGGCATACCAACGCTTGCTGCCCAATGTCTGCCAAAAGAGAGGCCACTTGCAACAGTAGATCGGTGGGAAGGTGACTGCCAAGCTGAAGGACATGCGGGCCAACGTGGATGGCGTAGCGCAGAAGCACGTGCACAAGGGGTTGGTAGGCCACGTCCACGCACACTTGGGTGACGTCGCGAATGACTTCCACGAGCAACTCGATATCGTGATGTGAATCGTTTCTCAGTTGCTGCGACGATTGCTCCAACACGGCCGACAGCAGCATCGAATTGGCAACCGCAGCCGGTGGCAGGCGGCCGTGCTCGACCCACGTTGCAAACGCCTGGAAGATGGCACGCTCCATTTTGTCGTGAAGGGGCTTGGGCAGGCCATGGCTGTGCAGAGCACGCCAACACGTTTCCACGGCTGTCAACACCGACACCGACTCGGTTTGGACCACGGATTCCCAGGACGTTCGGTGGTCGATGCGAAGCAAGAGTCTCTTGTTATGGATTTCCTCTGGAACTAATTGCAACACGAGAATCACGGCCATTTCAATGCAGTACAACATGCTCGCGTTGGTTGTGGTGGTGTTTGCCCGCTCTTGGCCTGCCAACGCGTCCAGCGTAGGTAGGACGCCGGCGTCCGTGCTGCCGAGGATGCAAACCGTCACGCAACATGCAAACTGGTTAGCAACGTTCATCGGTATGGACGCTTGCGAGAATGACTCGTGGATGTGGCGGCACAGTTGGTGAAAACATGACACGACCAGCTGGGCGGGCGAGATGGCCGGTGTTGCTTCTTTGCGGTGCTGGTATTTGGCCATGTCCTTGCTTCCGCGACTGCAAATGGCACGGTAGATGGCATTGACAAGGAACAGTTGGGCATGGGCCTCTACATGACTATGGACTTGTGTCAACCACATGAGTGCAATGGGAATCGCGTCCGCCGCCTTTTGGTACGACTGGAGGAACGCGTCCGCGCGGCGGCGATCATCTTCGGACCTACAAACATGAACGGCATGTCAGTTCCATCGATATGTCATGCTAACGTACGCATCGGCCGAGAGAACTCGTCGCACAGCGGCCAGCACTTGGTGCGGTCGATCCTTGGTCGTCATGCTGGGTGGACTTTGGCGTGGAAAACTTGGGTGCAGTTTCCATTGCTGATACGTGATTGGCTGATTCACTCCAATGGGAAAATTCCCATTCAAGTTCTCCCACGAAATTATTTGTTTTCACAGGTTCATACAATGCCATCATGATTATGAAAAAAGTCCTGTCGCACGGAGTCGACCATGCCCAACCAGCTGCATTTGACGACTCGGCTGCGGTAACATGTCGACAGACGGCCTTGGCGGCAATAAATTGCGCAACCAAAACCAAGAGGCGCGGCTGGTGTGGAAGCCGGACTACGAGCTGAAGTTTGGCCTCGTGCCACAGGACGGCGACTTCCACAACCACATCATCACCAAGGCGTCGTGTGGGTTCTGTGATCGCTACGGCCGCGAAGGCAAGGAAAGAGGGTTTCCAGACATCGAAGGGGCGGAATCGGCGATCGGAAGCCTACTCCCAGATGCCAAGCGGCGCCGGGTCGGGTGCAAGGTATGGGAAGCATTTCGGACCGACCACATCAAGCGCCACCTGGAAACGGAGCATCCGGTCAAGTGGGCCGAGTACCAGAACCTGTCGACAGAGGCCAAGTTGCGCTTCTTCTCCCAGAACCCCATCAGTCTCGATGGCAGCGATATTGACCTCCATCGGCTGCCCTTTCAAAAGGTCCCGCCTGTCACGCTGGAGAAGGTTGGTGCGATTGCCATTTTGAAGCTCAACGACCCCACACGATTGAACGCTCTGACGTCCGACATGGGCATCCGACTCGAAGGTACGTCCCCCCCCCATGATGTCGACAAGTGGGGTTGCATCATGCCCCTATATCCCATGCAGAACTGGTCCGGGAGATCATCGATCGCGTGGACGAGTTTTCTGCGGTGGTGCTGACGGGCGAAGGCCGCGCCTTCTCTGCCGGCGGGGACTTGGCCTTCCTGCAGGCCCGCATTCATGATACGGCGACGAGAAACAGGTAGCTTCTGAACCACGTCGCAGAAACCCAATTCCGCATTTCCTAGTGCCATCATGCGCGCCTACTACGAGCGCTTCATGTCGTTGCGCAAACTTCCGATTCCGCTGGTGGCGGCATTGAATGGCGCGGCGCTCGGAGAAGGCATGTGCATTTCTCTGTTTGCAGACGCCAGAGTCATCGCAAGGGAAGCCAAGGTCGGGTTCACGTTTGTCAACTTGGGGCTGCATCCGGTACAGAGTTTGCCTTTGACATATCATTTCCAATTCTGACTTTGACACATCATTTCCACTTTTAACTTTGCCTTTCACATATCATGTCCACTTTTAACTTTGCATTTATATATCATTTTTGTTTTCGGACTTATATAGGGCATGGCTGTGACCCATTACCTACCGAAACTCGTTGGACCGGACCATGCGGCGCACTTGCTCTTGTCGGGCAAGGTAGATCGTCGTCGACTTATTTCTTTTGAACAAGAAATAATAACATTAGTGAGGGTGATGTAGGTCATATCGGGCGAGGAAGCGCTTATCTTTGGCCTTGCCACCAAGATTGTAGACAAGGTATGACTGTATGACGATCTACGTTATCGATTGAACTCTCGCACAACTGCGTACTTAGGAGGACGTGTTGAAGGCGGCGCTGGCCCTTGCAGAGGAAATGACGGCGGGGTCGTCTGTGGCGACTCGAACGCTCCTTCGCACTCTGCGCATGCATCAAGACGCGGGGGCGGAGATTGCGCTGGCGAGGGAAGTGGACTGCCAGGCCACGTCGTTTGCGTCGGCGGACTATCAGGAGGGAGTGAATGCCGTCGCGGAGAAGCGCAAGCCGATGTTCAACATCTCAGAGCACTACCACGAAACCACGGAAGGCTAAAGCAGAAAGAAATCGCTGTTGTCGACTGTAAAGTTGGTTTTGGGTGTGTCATTGGACTTGGTGACCTCGGCCACGGTCGAGTCTGGCGCTGCTGCAATACTACGTAGCATTACAGTAGTAGGAAACTTGCGCTCCAATAACGTTAGGATTTTTTTTGCTGACTGTCTTTTGTAACCGCTGAATGGCATGCTGAAAGGCCATTGGCTCCTCTACTTCAAGTGCCTGGTGATTGGCGGGGTGTTGTATCCATTTTATGGTTGACGTCGTCGTATTGTGGAAAGAATCACACATGAACAACCTCCTCCGCCTGGCAGCAACCAAGTCGCACGTCGCGGGCTACCGCTCCCTCTCGACGACGGCGAAAGCGTCCGTGACACTTGAGAAGCACGGTCAGATCGGCATCTTGCGCTTGAACGACCCCAACCGCCTCAACGCGCTGACAGCGAACATGGGGGACCGCGTCGAAGGTACGCTCAAGCATTGCGTGTGGACTCTTGTCGCTATGTGAGCTCACGAGACTGGCAGAACTTGTGCAGGAAATCACAGCCCGCGCAGACGAATTCCGTGCGATTGTGCTGACCGGTGAAGGTCGTGCGTTCTCTGCGGGCGGGGACTTGGAGTTCCTCCAGAAGCGCTCCAACGACACGACGAGCCGCAACACGTACGTCCCACCCATTCCAAGTCCGTGGTGGTCTTATCACCTTTCGCTTCTTCCTCGTCTTAGCGTCACGATGCGAAAGTTCTACGGTCGGTTCTTAAGCTTGCGCAGCCTACCCATACCACTCGTGGCCGCGTTGAACGGTCCTGCCATCGGTGCCGGCATGTGCATTTCGCTTTTTGCCGACGCGCGGGTGGTGGCCAAGGACGCTAAGCTCGGGTTTACGTTTGTTCACTTGGGATTGCATCCTGTACGATCGATATATATATATATATATATATCGATATATCGTGACTTAATGCCTAGGGCATGGCCTGCACGCATTATCTTCCGCTCCTTGTTGGCGAGGAGAAAGCCAACTATTTGCTCCTCAGTGGAAAGGTATGACGTGGCGGTGTCTCCTCATGCTTTCTTTTGAGCCACCATTAATAGTGGTTTGTCATAGGTGATTACCGGCGACGAAGCGTTCAAGCTTGGACTCGCCACCAAAGTCGTTGACAAGGTAGTTATGCCAGCCCCTGCTTTGTATTTCGTTCGCTCGAGCATTCGAAGATATCAATGCATGGAATCGGTAGCACGATGTGGTGGCGGAGGCCATCAAGTTGGCCGAAGAGTTGACGTCTGGGTCGTCGATAGCCACCCGCAGCCTCCTCCAAACCCTTCGGCTAAAGCAAGACAAGGACTTGGACATGGCGCTGCACCGCGAAGCGACCAGTCAGGCCGTGTGTTATGCCACAGCCGACTACCGCGAAGGCGTCGACGCGATCGCGTCCAAGCGAAAGCCAAAGTTTGGCTCTCTCGAGCGGTATTACACGTAGAGTTACAATGTGACGACGACTTACCATTCCAAGTTTGGATTGGGATTCTTAACTCCCTTCTTGACGTTCTTGTGACCCCACGGACAATGCCGGCATTTGTACCCACAGCACGCGCGATCTTTCAAGTACAACGCCGTAAACACAGTGTACCCAGACCCAGGGTCGACGTACTGCCGATACCCCCGCGCGCACGCCACTCGGTGAAGTAGTCGGTAGCGTTCGCTGGCCAAATCATCGGTACCGTCTTCGTCGTCCATGTCTTCAATCTCCTGCACGTCTTCCGCCAAGGTCACGTCGGCTACGATATCCGACCACGTCAAAGGGGTAGTGGGGGCCCAAGTGTGCTGAACCACGTTGCTACTTGGAGGAGTTGACTGGCTAGATGGTGGTTGGCTAGATGGTGGTTGGCTAGATGGTGGTTGGCTAGATGGTGGTTGGCTAGATGGTGGTTGGCTAGATGGTGGTCGTGGGGTGCTGCTGGATGTTGGTTTCTCAGCGCCAACTTCGTTAACTTCGTCAGCTGGCACGATGAGTGTATCTAGCATATCAAGCGATGGTTGTGGAATGAAGTGCACAAGCGGCGTGGAGGTCTCGCCATCGTAGCCACCGACGACAGCCACCACCACCCCACTGGTCGACAGCACCCGACTCGGCAATGTGTTGGAAGTCGGCCGAACCATCGCCATGGAATGCCTGCAGACAGGATGCGGAAGCACATGCGACACTCGATGCCATACTCTGGTGGTCAAGTCCAACGCGTACACCGAGTCCATAACAGAAGGGCATGCTTCGCTCCGAGCCAAATGGGATTGGCCACCAGTCACAAGCATGACGTGGCTGTCGGCAAGGATGGCTGCGTGCGACGTCCGCGGGGGCGGCACCTCCCCCGTGCATATCCATTGCTCCCACGCGTCCACCGTACCCGCCCGACTCGGATCATATGCCCACACATCGTTCAACGGTCCTTGATGCTTGTCGGACCCGCCAAACACCACCATGATATCATCACCACTTCGGTCGTGTTCATTCTTTGAATGCGATGGCCACCATATGGCTGTGTGATCTGTGCGTGGGGACGGACTAGCGGGATGCAATTCGTCGTGCGCAGACAGCGTTGACCACGACCACGACGTCAAGTCCAACTGAACCACGTCATTGAATCGGTCCCGGCCATTCCACCCGCCAAACACCAATAACACCCGGTTGGATGCGAGAACCATTGACGGATTTCCTCGCGGGGACGGAGGACGCCCCACGGTGCTGCCGTGAGTCCAGCACCGGGTGGTCAAGTCCAATAGCTCCATGTCCGCTAGGGGGTGCAGTCCACACGCATCCCACCCCCCAAACGCGACTAAGATGTCCCCCCACACGACCGCAGCGTGGTTGGAGCGACGAGTCGGCACCGCTTCGCCGTACACGGCGGTGCACGGCACCGGACGCCAGACGAGAAGGCTGGAAGGCGCGCCGTCATTGGCCAACGATACATCGGCCTCCCATAGATTGGTCGCGTCATCCAGGGGGGAAGTGTCGCCGGATAAAAGTAGCAGCTTGTGGTTCCACGACAGCAACACATGGGCCGACACTGCCAGAGGAAAGGCACCAGAGGGGGGGGCTTGCGAGGTGGCGATTGTGGGTGCAGGAAGCGACTGAATTGGAGACAACGTGCGAGGTGACGTGGCAATGGGAGAGGGCTCCAAGGTTTCCAATTGAGTTGCATCAATTTTCGTACCCACCTTGATATTCACGGGGACAAAGTACTCTGCCAAGTTCAAGCAACGCTGTGGTCCGACGAATTGGAGCACCGCTTTGTGTAGACTCTGGCGGGGAAATTCAATGGTGGGATGAAGCAGCGCTGCTAGAATTTCGATGCCTTCGACGAGTTGAGGGCCCGGACGGGATGAGAGGTCGTGGTCCACCACGTACAGCCTCGGGGGCGATGTTTGCATGGCAGGAAGGTCCCAAAACCCAGGGAGAATAGCCAAATGCTCCTCCACTTCCTTAGCGCTACCAGTGGCCGACTTGCCGCAGCACGCCACCACGAGAACCTCGGGGGACGCAGCGACAATTTCGTCCCATTGCAATCGCCGAGGCGGACACCCTGGATACGACTCGTTTAGGGCTTCGACACCCCCAGCTCGAAGGCGCATGTCCGGCAGCCATTGGCCGGACACCACCAGTGGAAACGCGCTCTCTAGACCCAGCACTCGCGGCTTTGTCGGGTTTTCTGCATCAATAAGGTCGCGAATCACTTGCAATCGCCGCGTGAGGGCTGCGTGGAGGATGCATCCCCTTCTGGACTCGCCCACGACTGCCGCCAATCGAAGCACTTGACTGAGCATGTCGTTGACGGTGAGGGGCCGACACAGCACGGTGGATGTGACGTCGGCCAACCCGACGGCATCGAGGGCTCGCAGCAGTGCCGAATCTGTCACTGCGCACCGATCGCACGCTTCTTGGGTGAACACCACGTCCGGCTTGGACATTTGCAACGACACTGTGTCAATCGAATGCAAGTCTCGCAACCCCGTCGCATGGAGCTCTTGAACTTGGCGCTCGATCTCTTGGCTTGTCGTGGCGGTAATCAAACTCAACGTGAGCTTGGGCAACGACCGAACCAGCCATGCAGGGGACGTGCAGAATTCGCTGATTCCGCGAAGTACCGAAGGATTGGTCGTATAACCGTCCTCGTCGTCTTTGGTGGTCCAAATAGCGCCGAGGGTTTCCGTGGCGGTGGCTTCCAAGGACACATAGCGCATGTGTCGACGGGCCGCAGCGACTAGCGCCGGCGCCATCTCCGGGGTTGCCCCAAAATGGACATGACAGTACGTTGCAATGGTGCTGGCTTGCACAATGCCTTCAGGGGACGACTGGGGTGTGTGTGATGAAGAGCGCACTATGGTGGTGTGGAACGCAGGATGAGCGACCCCCGTCCACCCAATGCCGACCCCAGTAGGCCCTAGCTGCTCCACGGGTTTGCCAACGTCGTTGGTCGCTTCAGAAAAGTGAAACTGCTGGCACTTGAGGACAAGATTGATCGGTAGACGAAGGAGCGACGCCAACGCTGGAGACGGACTTGCATTGATGTAGCCCATGACCATTCGGGGCGTCATAGTGACGTCGAAGGGAAGCAGTCCCGCCATGGCAAACGAACCTCCGTGTCCATCGTGCAATGTGTTGGCGAGGTACATAAGCCCCCCGCATTCTGCGTACACCAACCCCCCGTCACTGGCAAAGGCGTGCACTGACGCTCGCATGCTCTTGTTCGCCTCGAGAATAGTCCCATGGAGCTCGGGATACCCGCCACCGAGGTAGATGCCATGCAAGCCAGATGGCAAGGTCGTGTCGTGGAGCGGTGAAAAGAAGATGATCGTCGCGCCGGCTGCTTCCAAATGGCGAAGGTTGTCGTGGTAATAAAAGCAGAACGCATCGTCTTTCGCGACGCCAAATCGGACAGGGGGAAGTCGGCTCAGATCACGGTTCAATGTGTCGGGAAGGACCGGCAGCGATAGTGCAGATGTTGGCGCACGCACTGCCGAGTCGGCGTCCTCCATGCGAGACACGAGAGTGTCCAAGTCAACGTGCGCATCAATGAGCAATCGAATGTGGTGCTGGATGGTTGTGTGGGTTTCACTTGATGGCAAATGCAGCCCCAAGTGCCTTTCTGGCATGACCACGGCGACCGATTTGGGGAGGCAGCCGAGGACAAGCACACCTTTCAAGAGAACAGACGAAGATATTGCGTCGCGCAGCCATTGGGCATGTGATTCGCCGCCGATTTTGTTCAAGATGACGCCGGCGAGCCGAATGTCTGGGTCAAACGAAGCATATCCATGGACGATAGCTGCGGCCGTTCGTCCGAGGCACCATGCATCTACGACCAAAACCACCGGCGCATGCAGCCACTTGGCGATTTCAGCGGTGCTGCCGCAGTCGGAATGGCCATCTCGACCGTCGAACAGTCCCATACACCCTTCGACGATGGCAATGTCGGCTTCGGACGCACGACAGTTGCGTGAAAAGGACTCCAGCACACCATCGCGACCCATCATGGCTCCGTCCAGATTGACGCTAGGAATGCCACCGCACGCGAGAGTGTGGTGCATGGGGTCGAGGAAGTCTGGACCAACTTTGAAGGGTTGCACGCGCATTCCACGATGGGTCAAGGACGCCATGATGCCAATGGCAATGGACGTCTTGCCCACGCCGCTGGACACGCCTGAGATCACCAGCACATGTGGCAATTGTCCTGCCATCGATGGAGTTGACCTGGAATCAAACCATTGTCAAAGGACGCTTCTAACGCGTGTTTGATTGGCTGCTTGGAGGTTACGCTTGGAGGTTACGTATATTAATGACCAATCAAAAATGTGAGACACAGTTTTCGTTCAAAGTACTAGCTAGTAATGACAACTGTGTTTGTGATTGTGCAAAATACTACCGGTCAACCTGGCGGCGCCTATTCTAGTATCCGAGCGAGGCAGCTAACTTTTTGGCCTGCTCCCAAAAGACAAAGGTGAAGATTGTGTGAGGGCCCAGGCGCATGTAGTGCGCAGACCAGCCCTTGAACAGTCCCCGAACGCCTTCAGCTCCAAATGTCTTCTTGAAGCAGTCGATTACTCCAGAGTACAGCACGCCTTGCCCGTTGACCACCTTTTGACTGTACAGTCGCGTGCTGACCACATCAAACGGGTTCATGGCCGTGGTGACAGCCAGCCCCGTGACCAAACTAGCAGCCAAGTGGCATAGAATCCCATCTTCCAGCAATCCTGTCGACAGCACCAAGTGCTTGGACGAAGCGTATGTCGACAACTGGGCAGCGGAGCCCACGGCTACACGCGGGACAGCTCCATTAACCCCTCGATACAGTCCCAACACACCATCCTTGGCGATGATTTGTCGAATTGCATCCAGCTACAGAGTGCCGTTGAGCGAGCAAACTACAGGGCAGACGACTGGAATGTGATTGCTCCAATGATTGACGTACCGTGCCCTTGTAGTGGTATTGGGCGTTGATAGCAGACACGGCACTACTTTGCGCTTGAAGGCGCGCTTTGACAAGAAAGAATGGACTGCCCATTATGGCGCCGAGCGCGCCAGACGTTGCGCCTGCCGCCATGTTGCGCAATGGAAACGAATAATGGTTGGGATCTGTCGCTCCATACACTTGTTGGAGCTGTTCGAAGAAGCCCAATCGAGCGCCGTTCATAAAGCTCTGGCAACACGACGGTCAAATTCATGTGTGAAGACAGAAATGTGCTTGATCCTACCTGGTAGAACATGCCAGCGACAAGTCCTCGTTGGATGCCAGCAATACCTTCCAGTCGACAAATCGTGTAAAACGCATGGAACGAGTTGCGGTAGACGATGGGTGCGCCTCTCGCCGCGAGCTCACCCTGTCACAAGCTCAGCAACGACGTCACCACGGTGTGCGAGGACGAACCTGAAGTTGCATGCGCGTCTTGACGACTTCCATGGGATTGGACCCGATAGTTGCCAAGGACGTAGCCGCCGCTGCAATGACGAAGTTCCCAAAGAGACCTCTCTCGGCTTTTGCCGGCGCCTCGCACGCTCCGTTTGTTGCCATCACAATGCCAATTGCAGCAATGCGCAATGCATGTTCATGTCAACCATGCATCATTGCCCATCGACTGTTCTATTGGTGCATAATCTCACTCTTAAGTCCTTTCTATTGGTCATAAATTTGTAATAATGACTATTTGATTGGCTCGCATGTTCACCCGACTGATAGCTTACGTTTATAATCGAAGCATAAATATGTTAACTGTAAATATGTTAATTATCAAAGAATAAAAAACATACTACTCGTCCATACTTCGAAGTATTATTATAATACTGAAGTACTACTTCGTAGTATTAATATTACTTCGTAGTATTAATATTACTTCGTAGTATTAATATTACTTCGAAGTACAAAAATACTTACTTCACAAAGTTGAAACGAGACAAAATTTCGGAACGGAGTACCTCCGTTCCGAAATTTTGTACTCCGGAGTACTAGTATTCAAGTACGCTGGAGTATTAATTATGTGTACACTACGAAGTATGTATTATATACTGGTACAGTAGTACAGTAGACCACAACAAAATCTGCGTGGTGGAATTCCGGTGCTTCAGGTACTTACTATACGTACACTACTAGTACTACGTAGTACTAGCCTGCAATCTAACAGTAAATTGAACGATAATCTATGTTGTGTTTATTGCGAGAAGTACGCGCACACTTGGTCCATGACGAGCCACTGGATCCCGTAGGACGGACACAGGCGGGTCAAGCGGGGGACCAGCCCCTTGTAGAGGGCCGCGACGCCTTCTTCGCGGGCGATGAGGGTCGTGGCCTGGATGAGGCCAGTGTACTTACCGGCCACGCCCTTGCCGTTCTCCTGCGCCATCATGCGCGTCTTGACGACATCCATGGGGCAGTTGATGCACGGCCCAGGAATGGCGCCAAGCATTCCCGTGAGCATGCTCTTCCACGGCGACAGCGTTTCGCCATCTTTCAATTGCCACAAGTTCTTCTTCAAGTACGTGTTGGACCAGAAGCTGCACGCTTGGTTCAATCCTTGACGTCCGATCGTGGGCGCGACACCCTTCCAAAGCGCCATCGGGCCTTCGTGCTTGATGATAGTCAGGGTCGACTGCAGCGTGCCTCGGTACTTGGGCACTTCGCCGCGCACGATGGTCTGGCCTTGGAGCCGCGTCTTGACCACTTCGAACGGCGTGACGATCAGCACGGCTTCCGTGGCGCCGGCCAACGCCCCGGCCAAAAACTCTTTTGCGCCCGTCACTTGGCCGTTTCCGTCCGCGAGCAGCTTGCGGTAGATGGCGTTGAAGTAGAAGCGCGTGCCGTTCTTGAGCACGACGTGGGACGTCCACGGCACGAAGCCCTTGTACAGACCCTTGGCGCCTTCGCCCTTGACCAGTTGCTTCCCGCAGTCAATCATGCCTTTGTATTGCCCCGTTTTGTCGAGCTGCAGTCTCGTTTTGCACACGTCCAACGGCGTCAAGATCACCGCCTCGATCACGCCGCTCAAGGCCCCAGCAAAGAACTTGACCGTGGGGCTGACCGTCTTCTTGTGGGACGTCGAGTCGCTCGGAAGGGGCGCACGCAGCCCGCCTTCGCCGATCTCGACGCTTGCTTTCCACCATTGCTTGGAGAATTCGCGGACGTCCGGGTCCCACAAGAGTGCTTCCAGGTTGGGGTTGGTGACCATTTTCGACCGCATGAGTAGGTACAAATACTTGAAGTCTTGCTCGGTGATCTTGGACACGTCCTTGGGGTGCAGCTCTTTGATCATGGACGTGGCTTCGGCGACAGTCACGGCAATGCCAAGCTTTTGCATGGCCTCTTGGAGCGTTACGTCGTCGAGATACCCCTTCTGGTGTGTGTCGAACGATTCAAAGATGTGATGGATGAATCGTTCGTGGATCGCGTGGAAGTCGTCGAACGTGACTTTGCCCACGTGCTGGCGGTCCAACTTGTCCATGAGGGTCAGTGTGTCTTCGGTCGAGAGGCGGACCCCCGCCTTGGACAAACCTGCCTGGATGTCGCTGGCATTCACGACCCCATTGCCGTCCACGTCCACCTTGGCGAACGCTTCGCGCAGGAGGTTGTCCACTGTGAGGCGGGAGTCGCGGCGGATGAGGCGAGAGTTGGGCGATTCCGGCATTTCAAGATGGAAAATGAAACCATCCAAGGATCGCCTCTCTGTCACGCGACTGCAGTAGCCAATAGCCACTTTACAAATTACAAGATAGACCGAGTATTCACATCCACGACCCATTGAATGAGGTGACACATGCATGCGCAAGCATCGGAATGAAAGGACCGCTGGGCGGTATAAAAAGGCGGGATGGATCCATTTAACCGAATTTAACCGGAAACACAGTGTTCTGCTTAGATTGACTTGCTGCTCAATTATCTTGCTCTTTTCGCCACTGCCGCAACCCCAGCTCGAACAAGTGCCTCCGTAGCAATCTAGTATAGGTATAATACGTGGTATGGTCTGTTGCGAGTGATCGTAACGCGTCTTGATGGCAAATAAGCAATGAATATTGGCTCTTGTAACACATCATGTATGGGGTGGTCGTCGGTGTTCAACGTGGGGTCCAATCAGCCGAAGGGTATTTTCGTCCCAAAGAAAAGGGAATCTGAATTACTTCAGGTGTACTGTACGAGGCTAGAAGTATCTTTTACGTACTTGTACACATATACAAACCATAAGCCAAATATATGTACATTGAAAGTACGATTCTTAATGTACAGATTGTATCTGACGCGCCAGCGTTTTGGAATGGGAACTATTTTGATTGGCCAGCTCCATTAGGATACACCAGTAGACGAGCCAGGCAATTTGGCGCTAACTTTTTGATTGGCATGGCGGAGGCGACAGTTTGGCAGCGATTCCACGTATTGTATCGGCCTTCGAAACGTCATGGCGCACTACTTCCACTGGCCCATCCCCTCGTTGCGAGATGTGCTTCCTGTGATTCTGTGTACTTCAATGTGCTTCCTTTTCTGGTATGCGGTTATCTCCTAGCCAACTACACACACACATGGATGCTCTGACCTACCATGCACAGCCCCTTGTACGACCGGTAGACACACGAAATAAAAATCTCCTGGTTGACCGTACGCCGTGATGATGGCACCTTCCACATTGCAGTTTCCACAACGTTACATTGAAGTGACGCTTTGAAAGTCCATTTGAGGGCGGTAGCATCGAAGGTTCAGCCACTGGACAACGTCTTCTATCACTTGGTTCGCCACTGGTTCGTGCAGCAGGTCGTGGGCGGCCTGGTCGTACTTGTTGAACGTCTTATCGGGGCATTCTTGGATCCTGTCAAACCATTCTTGGGACCCTTCAATGGAACAGATGACGTCGGCCGTGCCGTGTTGCAGCAGCAAGGGCACTGGCAACGCACGCTGCGTGACCAGCTGGTGCTGTAGAGTTTCCACGCATTGCTTGACTTGGAAGGCAGTGCCGACGCGGAGTTTGCCCGTGTAGTACAGCGGATCTTGCAGTTTGGCCTTTTGCACAGTCGCTCGAACACATTCGCTGGACCCTTTGCCTCCATTCGACGGCATGACCGCAAAGAACGGGGCCACATACGCCACAGCATGGCCAATCGCTTGCACAATCGCGGGAGGTTGTCTGGTAGCGTGGATTTCTAGGGCGGGGCATTGGATGATCGCGCCGTCAATGTCACTCGAGTCGCGCAACAGTCGATGCAACGTGAGGGCACCACCCAAGGAACTACAACATGTTGGTATTAAGGCGAGTAATATGTATATATGAGTGTACCCGCCAAGGACAAAGCGCTTCTTCGTGGGAAAGTTTGCGTGGACTGCCTTGATGTGTTGATGGATGTCGTCGACAAGCGACTCGTGGCTGTGAATAAGGGCGTGCAGACCTGAACTTCGTCCAAAGCCTTCATGGTCGAAGGCGTACACGATGTAGTTCTCTTCCAGCAGCGTGTGCACCAACTGTAGCATGCTGCTGGAATGCTCGTTGAGACCGTGCACAAGGATAACCACGGCGTTCGCACTTGTCACGCCTCGTTTAGGGATCCACGTTTGGGAAAACAGCTAGATATGCACAGTCAGCGATCGACATATAGAGCAATCAACGTACTTGGACACTTCGACCGGGCCGTTGTTTGATTGCCAAGACGTGTTCGTGGGAATGCAATGCCAACTTGGCGACGGCTTCTTCGTCGGCACTCAATGGTATGGAGGTTCTGGATGTATCCAGCGATGGATCGAAGAGACTTATGTATAACAGGCCAGCACCAGCACCTAATAAGCCAATTCCTACGGCTGCAGCCACCACTGGCCGCGGCAACCACGCATCCAAGGGCATGAGCAAGCGCGGGTTTCCACTTTTCGGCGCATGCGCTTTCGGCGCATCCGGATAAAACATCCGGATAAATGACTTTGGGTTCACGTCCATTTCATTGTCCAAAGAAGTCCATGCCCCCAAGGCCAACGACAATAAAGCGCTTCCGTTGGCGTCGAGTCGGGGCTTACACGCAACGGTACGTTGCCTCTTACAACATGTAAATGATGCTGCTAGTTTGCGTTAATGCTATCACTTGGCTGAATGCATAGGTCATTCACATCGACTTCGACGACAGCCAAAGTCAGCGATGCGTGCATCCTTCGATTTGTTACCCCGAAACCCATATCCGGATGTTTTATCTGGATGCGCCGAAAGCGCATGCGCCGAAAAGTGGAAACCCTACAAACTCTTACCCCGAAACCCATATCCGGATGTTTTATCTGGATGCGCCGAAAGCGCATGAGCCGAAAAGTGGAAACCCAGCAAGCGCTTTGTTTGAAGCTTTGTTGACGTGCATGGTCGGATAATCTCCAACCTGTTATCCGGACAATAAAAGTGAGAAAACTATATTAGTAATTACTGTAATTCGATTTCACAATGGACTGGGGCTGCCAAGTCATCTGACAGCATTCACAGTTGAGTATTTTCAAGTATATTCAGTTCAAGTAAAACGACGTCTAGACGATTTCAGGTAGATTTGACGTCGTTCGCCGAATCTACCCAAAATACCAAACTTTACTTGAAACCACAATACCAACGCTTAATTTTCCTCCGAGTCCATTGATAGGAAGGCAGCACCATCGTTACGCCGCACACAACGACTTCGCGCGGAGCCGCCCAAGTAGGTACTGACTGTACTGTACATCTGTACATAACTACTAAGGTTACTACTATTTATAGTACTAGTCCTAGTAATATGTAACCGAAGAGCTCGGTACAGTAGTGAGTAAATGAATGACCAGTATGGATGTCAATGACGTAAGAGGAGTGTCGGTGCCCATCTGATTTTACAACGAATTGTTCGCCACAGTGAAGTCCCTACTCCGGGAGAGCAATTCACATTTCCCAAATTATGCACCCCCCAAGGCACTAGGTTGGGTGAACTATATTGTGAGTGGGCAAAATATATCCGGTGATGGTGGAAATATTTTGAAATAAAGCTGAAATTAAACGCAAAATGGTGTAGTATTCGTGTGATGTCGTTATGGTGGTGTCATTGGCGGTACTTGCAAGTTGACGACAAAGAGATCTTACCATCTGCAAATAAAATACTTCATTTTCATTCTTACAGGGTATTATAGTATAGGAGTACATAATCAATGTAACAGTTTAACATAGAGATAAAACATACATTCACCTATCACACCGTTTATTGAATCCAAGAGGTCATTTATGAATACAGGGACTCATATGTCCCAACCATTGACAAATCGACCTGCATTCCGAATCCACTTCGTTGCCCACACAATTGTATAGGCAAGTCACCCCCTCTCGAACACGATGAGCTCGCCCAACACATCGAGCGGCAAGCCTGCCCTGCACAACCAAGGATCCACGGCTAGCTTGGACGCCCTCATCTTCGACGAGCAAAAGAGCGCCGCGGCCACTCATGCCGATGAGCTGAAGGACGACGAACCTGATGCGGAGGAAAAGAAGCCTCGGACGTCGTTGTCGAATGTGTTCCCTGTGGACAAGTTGAAGAATGGCGCGTCGAACGCAGGCAAGTTCTTCGGTTCGACGCTGACGTCCTTGAAGGAGAACTCGGCGAAGGGGTGGGAAAACGCCAAGCAAACCAAGGCCGGTGGAGCCTTGGCGTCTGGGTTGACGACTGCGTCTGTCGCTGCCTCGACCACCGCAAGCCGCATCAAGGACACAGATGCGTACAAGAAGACAACCACTGCGGCTGCACAAACGTTTGAAAAGGCCAAGCAAGGCGCTGAAATTGGCGTCGAGAAGGTGAAACAAGGCGCGACATTTGCCAAGGATGGTGCTGTCCAAGGGATCGAAAAGGTCCGCGCGCGCGTCGGCAAACCTGGCGATGAGGCGGACAAGTAATTTTTCAGCAACCAAGTCAATATTCTGCGCCCTTCAACCCGCAATACCTCGATCTCATATTTAGACTCGGAATCCCATTCACTAATTCCATTTTCTCCCTCCAACATCACGATAGTTTCACTCGCCCCCGCTCCTCAAAAATCCGATTGAATCACCTGCAAGGCGCACGACCAATGCAGTATTCACATGGTCAACTGATAGTTGTTTAAGAGCCTGGCTAACGTACACTAGTTTGCAGCAGAAGATAACGTCCACGTGCGTACAGTACTACTGTAGCACGTGGAAGGAACTTCATTATAGATTAGTGGTAGGACATACTAGTAGAGCGATCTGTCCAGTACAGTGCAATTATGAATACGCCACTCATGACTGTCGCGCGAGCCGCCTGCAGCAGACATGCCGAAGGATGGCCCATCAAAAAGTCCTGCAATGTTCGAGCCCCAAGGTCGGCATCACTGAAAGTAACTTACACTGTTAGTTCCAGGATAGTCATTCATGATTACAGTAAGCTTACCACAGGAAACAATTCTGCGGACGGATCCCCACCAACTTCGTCTTTAGTAGTTGCGACCTATCGTGAAGTTGAAATTGAAAATGGCCCGGTCAGAATGGTCTAAACCACGAAAAACTATAGACGCACCTAAAACAATTGTAACTTTGTGATGAAAAATTTCAAATATTGTAGTCATTTCTGTAAGAGACTGTTCCAAGTAGAATTGGAAAAAAACGAAAAATGGGTGACAAAATATGGTGCTTTCGAGTGAAATTTCGTGTTGTGGCGTGGTTTCTCGTTGGAATTTAAATCGATTTGATTGGGTACTTCAGATGAGCTCAAACTTATTAGCCAATCAAAACCTTCTCAATGAAATTCAACCAATCAGATCGATTGTGGATCAATTTGGTCGGCGCGATTCGATTGCACCCCCTCCCCAAATTTGTATTAAATCGAACAATATTTCGTCCCATTTTTTACCTATACTACGACCATGATTGATTGGACATAAATCATTAGACTACAATGCATGCTGATTGGTCAATAACACAGTCAAATAGCCATTTTGGAAATGCAACCCAGCAAACCCAGTGGTTAGCTCGAGGCTGAGTTCCAACTCTTGTGGTCAACAACACCACGTGGTACTGGGTATGACAACATTGTTGATGGCAGGGGCGCGGTTGCTACGTCCGTCGATCGACATGAGGGCGGCGCCAAGGCAGCAACGACAGCAACACACACGGCAGTGGTCGAGTCCATGATATCAAATTGATCAATGATTGGATAGTGAGGCATCCATTATTAGCCAGTCATTGGGGAAATATCTGAGTTGCCCAGAATGGGATGTAATGGGGTCATGTACCCCATTTTGAAAAATGGATTTTGAGTTGGGGAGCATTTTGATTGGATATTGCCCGTGTATTAGATGCGTTGTTAACTTATACGTATATTATTAATAGTAGTACAGTATAACGTTATGTCATTGAAGTCGCAACGTTTCAACTTAAAAAAAATAGCATCGAAAAGGTTTTCTTGGATGCACGGTGCTCCAGCTCCGCCCTTGGTCATCTTCGTTTCCATCTCCACTATTATGACTTAGGAGATTTCTAAGCGCTTGGTGAATGATCGTTGTGGCTTGATCGCCAACGTTAGTGCTTGGCAAATTCAAGAAATCCGAAATCTACCTGGTACTAGTGCATGCGATAGTTAGCTGATACGTCAAGGATGTACTGCAGAATATCAATAGGTGCACATCTGTGGTGGATACGACTTAGCTCTAGGAATGCACTTACTGTTAATTCAATCCAAAGGTAAGTGCTTTGAGAGCTCCATCAAGTGTTTCAGAAGCGCCATCTCACTTTTAGCCGCAATACTGTAGCCGGAATATTGGAACCAAAACACTTCCGGCGTCGATTGGATCGGTTGCGGGCGGTACGAGAGGTTGCGCGGGGTCAAATCATGGAAGAATGACACCGCACACGCAGCAGTATCGATCAACTGAAGGAGGTACTCGACGATGGCATCATCCACACCACGCACAACGTGGTTCAAGCGCACCGTCTGGCTGTTTGCTGCCACATCGTGACATGGTGCCCCTGGTTTGCTTCGCCTGACGATCGTACATCACATAAGCCGCCCGATGGTTTGAATAATATACATGTAACGTAAAAAACCCAGTTTAAGATAACTTACTGTTAACCAATTTAGGATAGCTTTGTATTGCCCAATCACACCTCGTTATTTGTTCGAGTCAAAACCTCTGTCATACAAGAGCATCTCCAACGGTGTTTTTATTTCTATTTCAATTCGAACTTACGGATATAGAATATAAATTCTTGCACTATCCGGAGCATTTGTTGCTATTTCACGCGAAAATAGAAACTCTGCGAGTCGAAATTTCTAAAAAGTCCGGATAGTGCCAAAATAGCAACCGTAAAAACGAAGTTTGACTTTAACCTATGCTTTAGCAATAGGTTAGAATTTACCGTTAATGCTGACCATTCCGTCACGTGAATGAAATGCAAAAACGGCGTAGAAGCCATCGGTAACAGTCATTCAAGATTGGGTTTGAAGTACCCTGGTTGACAAGGGCCACATTGGGTTGGATCTGAGGTTTTGTCGAGTGTTAAACTCGGTGGACATCATCCACAACAGAAATATAACGTTATAAAACAGTACCCTTGTATAAATTATATGAAACCTGCTTACCCTAAGTACAGAATTTCAATGCTGCAGCACATAAATACTTTACAGGTAAGATAAAAAAGTTATCCTAAATTGGTTATCAAAATGTGAGTACAAATGCTTAGAAAGTGACAAGTTTATCTGTGAAGTTCATCGCCTAAACTGATAATTCGATTATGCAGTCATAGCGGCGCGTCTTGTCTATTGGAATCACTATTCAAAACTTAAATATCGTAACGGACTCAAAAGTTATGTCCATTCTACTCCGACGCCTCCAAAATCGTTTTCATAAATTGGTTTTTTACGTTATTGTCGATTCGATACAAATTTGGGGAGGGGTGCAATCAAATTGCGCCGACCAAACCGATCCACAATCGATCTACAGTAATTGGTTGAATTTCATTGAGAAGGTTTTGATTGGCTAATAATTATGAGCTCATCTGATGTAGCCAATCAAATCGATTTAAATTCCAACGAGAAATCACGTCAAGTACCCACTAAAAACGTGGTTTACGTATTATACGAATGGGCTACATGTGCATATTTGAAGCTTCACTCGCCAAGGATTGTCATTTTCGTTCCTTGGCGCCACGTGTGTAACCGAGGAAACAATTCTTCGGACGGGTCCTCCAACTCCACATTTTGTCGTGGTCCGTCGTTCACAATAAACTCAACATGGCTTGGACCGCGCCGAATCGTTAACACGTCACCTGCCCGGATAGGTCGTAGAGTGCCGACGAGCGCTTGCTTGTACACTTCGCCACTTGGGTAAAAGCTAACACAGCACGTGATGCGCGAGGCATCGCGCTTTGGCGCAAGCCCGATAATGAAATGGTGATTCTCGTGGCTAGAATCCACACGAATGCGAAAATCCCCTTCCACCAGTGCCTGCTTGACCACGACAGAAGTCCACTTTCCATTCTGTGCCGCCTTCCGCTCGATCGTTCGAAAGTAATTCGACAGCGTAAAGTATTGAGCACGTGCAGTCAAGTCCCACTGGAACTTTGGAACGATCAGCTTCAGGTACTCCAACATGGCTTCAAACTCGGCGCATTCGATGTCCGAGAATCCACTCGTCGACACCTCGCCCGTCTGCAGAAACGTTAACACATGGCGAAAGAGGTGGGGGTCCAGGTCCAAGAAGTACGCGTCGCCAGCAGAGTCGGGCTTCCACAGACCAGACCCCAACAACGCGTGGAAGTAGCTGCCTTCCATCCGTAACAACATACTTTTGGACGTCTTGAACATCGTGCCACCAACATCCAACATCACAATGCCCACACTTTCTGGAATGTCCATCTCCACTTTATCGGTCATTTGCATTTCCATGTCGTCCATATTATGAGTTGGAGATGCCGAAGTGCAGCTGCGGCAGCTGCGGCTGGATCGGCAGCTTTGATCTGTTGGGTGTGCAGTAGCGGAAAGAGTGAAGTGCCACATGGCCGGTTATTTACCGAAGTTTAACTGTCATACTGTATGTGGTTTTGATGGTCGCTGACTACGATGATGCGACAGTTGAGCTCAAACTTCCAGTGAATGGGATGGATGTCGACTTGATGTGATAGTTTAGTTGGCAGGTCGTGTAGAGAGCGAGCAACTACAGGTACATCGCTCAACGTACCTTGAATATCGTTCATGAACTCAAGTGCTCGACTGAAGAAATCTCGCGCCAATCGAGACCTCACATTTTACGTCAGTAGATTTTGCCTTTGCAAGCTTTTAAAAATTCGGGCTGTTCTATTTTCAATAAGCGGTTACAACAGGTTTCATATAATTTATACAAGGGTACTATTTTATAAAGTTATATTTCTGTTGTGGATGGATGTCCACCGAGTTTACAAAACCTCAGATCCAACCCAATGTGGCCCGTGTCAACCAGGGTACTTCAAACCCAATTTTGAATGACTGTTACCGATGGCTTCTACGCCGTTTTTGCATTTCATTCATGTGATGGAATGGTCAGCATTATATGACAGAGGTTTTGACTCGAACAAATAACGAGGTGTGATTGGGCATTACAAAGCTATCCTAAATTGGTTAAGGTATCTTACAGTTAAACTGGGTTTTTTACGTTACCTTGAACTTCGCAATGCTGTGGACGCGAGTTTCCAAGACTTTTTGTTGGGTAGTTATTTGACTTTACTTGCTTTGTCGAAGTGTGGTGGGTAAGACTGGATCTGTAAAGGTCAGACTGATGGCTTGGCGAATATCGAATTTGATCCCTAACTGTGTATGTAGCTAGTACTACCGGTATCAGCGCTGATGGATGTGACTCATAGCTGCTACCCCAGCCACTGCTCCATCCCATCTATTATAACGTGTCGACGGTATCGATGGTTAGGGTACAATTTCCACTTTGCACGAGGAATTGCGGTTTAGTAGTGAGTTTGATTTCAAGCTTAACTTCACGCTAGTCAATTAGGAGAGTCATTTTTGAGCCTTTGCGGTTCAAGAGTGCCACAGGAAACAATGCTTTGGACGGGACCCCCAACGCAACATTCTGTAGTACTCCATCGTTCGGGATAAATTCAACATATTTTGGATCAAGCCGAGTGGTCAACACATCGCCCGCTCTCGCATTGATCCTAGTGAACCAATGAATGTTGCTTCCTTGAAAATGAAAGTGTTAACGAAGGCATCAGATATGTTTATTCGCATCGTAGTGGTATTTCCTTCCTTGCTAATTTCATCATGCGGCAATACATAGTTATTTGAATGAACTTTAGATTATGCAAATATTCTCGATGTTCGCAAAAAGCGAAGAGGACAAAGTACCTCGTGACCTGTAACCTTTCAGTAGTACATCGGATTCAATTTTGACCGTCACATCCCCCCACCAATCTCAGCGTTCAAGCCCAATTGTATCTGGATTAACATGGAGGTGGAAGGTCCATCATCAAGTCGTTCACAGAAGTCTGTCCAAGATAAATTTGATACGAATGGGCTGCTACCACAGGAGCAATTAATCACCAACTTCACCTTTTGTGGCGCTTATCGTTCACTGTCAGTTCAAATTCAATGTGCGTAGGACTGCATCGAATGGTTAATACATCGCCCGTTCGGATTCGTCCTAGAGTGCTGACGAAGGAATCATTCTTGTAGACATCCTCACGTGCGTTTCAGCGACAGCTATAATCAGCACGTTTGATTGTCGAGTCATTGCATCCTTACCAAAAGGCGGAGCCCGACAAGCATCCACATGAATTGGAAGGTATCCTACTACCAACGCCCGGCTCGCAGCGGTACATGTAGCCGTCGAATGCATCTCGTTTGGCGATTTCAACTCGATCGTTCGAGAGTTTCAGCAAAGACATGACTGACGCAAGTGCTTTCGCGGACTTGTCATTTGACAAGTGACGAAGTGTATACATTTAGCATCAAGTCAGCAACTCTCGAATAAAATCAAGACAGAATTCGGATCTACGTTCTTTGAATTTGCACTTTACTGCAGTATTTACGCCGATAAGACGGGCTCCCACCATGACACGAAGGATTGTACGTGCCAATCATGCCGCAATAGCACTTCGAGATCTCCAAGCTCATACGGAGAAGATGGAAACGAAAATGACTAATTAGGTCGAGCTGGAACATCGCATTCAAGAAAACCTTGCAATCGCCCCCAACATTGTGACGTTGGACGTGGGTGGCACAGTCATCAAGACGTCCAAAGCTACGTTGTTGCAGGTGGAAGGCAAGCTACTTCCATGCGTTGCTCGGGTCTGGCCTGTGGAAACCCGACACTAGTGGCGATGCGTATGTCTTGGACCTCAACCACCACCTATTTCGTCGAGTACTCACGTTTCTACGCACGGGGGGGATGTCGACGAGTGGATTCACAGTACAACGAACGGCGTGAGTTTGAAGCTATGCTGGAGATGTAAAACTGAACCCTCCGAAGTTTCAGTGGGACTCGAAAGCACTTGAGGCAGGCATGATATTCTCATACAACTCTCGAACGATTGAGTTGGTAGAGCGAAACGCTGAAAATTGGTCGGACGCCGTGGTCAACCGATGGAAGGACAATTTCGACTTCGTATGGATGTTTGCGAACGTGACTTATTTATCGGGTTTTCCCCCATGTCAGTGTTCAATGCCTCGTCAAACGACCGCGACGACCAGTTATTGTTGTAATGTGGACTAATATTACTATTTATGCAAAGTATGGCGCATGATGAAAAGTGGCTTCCTGGTACATCACTTGAATGTAAGACTCTGGTCGCGCAGTTTGATACCTTTCAAACACATGTGAGGCTACTTGGTCACATGCTTGCTCGGATGGTCGACGCAGCAGCAGACGCAGATGTCGACGAAGGCCAAGGTTCCTCAAGCCTGGGATTGTTGTCATATTCCGTCCCTTCTTCACCTGTACCCCGAATACTTTTAATGCAATCGTGGCATCATCCTTCAGTTCGTCCAAAAATCTCGAACCCATGAGTCTAATACTTACTTGCACATCCAGTGGCGTCGTCCGCAACGAACAAGTAACGAAAGTGGTGTGTTGGTGGCCTTGATACTTGAGTATGTAGGCATCGTGTTTTCTAATGGAGTCCCGAGATTATTATCACAGCTTAGCGTTGTGCAAAGCAATCTACTTTTGTTAGGCTTGGACATTTCATGACAGTGTGCTGACATCGAGATAGTTTGTCGTGTGAGTACCATGCTGCAGTGGTTTGCACTTGAGTCAACCTCGGACAGCCGTGGGCATACCACACTGACGGCTTGCAATGCTCTATTCAACACCCACGTTTGACTTGCACTGCGACTGCATACCACACTTGGTACGGCACACCGCTTGATACACAGGTATCACCAACGTCTGCTGTGTTGCATTGACTGATCGTATTATAGCAACTGTAATCACAGGGCTGTGGTGGTCGTCTAGTGGCACGGACAATGGCCAACCAGTCGATGAATCCGACTTTTCCTTGGAGGGACGACGTGAACTTGTTTAGCTTAGCTAATTATTTTCCATCACGGCTTGCACAGTACAAGTATGAATGAATGCACGCACCCTTATAACACTGCAGCGGTACATGTACCGGTATTGCATTAAGTCTTCAGTCAGTCAATCTATCGTACGTCGAAGTACACAATAATATGATTTTGCTGGGGTGTAACACGGATGGCACGGTAGGTTGTATGGAGCCCATCAGTTTTTGCAAGGAAGTTCGTGTACATAGTCCATGGAATCGGAGCCAAACGCAAAAGTCATAACGTAGCATATCATAGCAACGTTGGTTTTGTGGTACCAAGAAGACCATATTCTTCCGATTGGCCTGTCATCTGCACTGTCGCCAACCTTGGCTTAAACCGGACTATTGGGCTTCGCTATATCATCATGCAGCATGCACATCAGTATTGTTTTTTCCGCTGTTGCAAGAGATCATGATGCAATGGATTAAAGCCGCCGATGAAGCCTCATCAGTACTTCGGCATCTCCGAACCCATACGGAGGAGATGGAAGCGAAGATGGCAGAGTGGGCCGAGCTGGAACGCCGCATTCAAGAAAACCTTGCCAACGCCCCCAACATTGTGACGTTGGATGTGGGTGGCACGATATTCAAGACGTCCAAAGCCAACTTGTTGCGGGTGGAAGGGAGCTACTTCCATGCGTTGCTCGGGTCTGGCCAGTGGAAACCTGATTCCCCTGACGACGCGTACTTCTTGGACCTCGACCCGCATCTCTTTTGTCGTGTGCTCATCTTTCTGCGAACGGGAAAGTTATCGGCAAGTGACTTCACGGACTTTGAAAGGGGTCAGTTTGACTCGATGTTGGAGTATCTCAAACTGAACGAGGTTGGGGCTCCACAGTTTCAGTGGGACTCAAAAGCACTTGTGCCAGGCTTGACGCTGTCCAATGATTTTCGAACCATCGAGCGGCTATCGTCCCACGATGGAAACTCGACGGCGGCAGTGGTCAAGCGGCCACTGGTGGAAGGACGACAGTGTCGAATCCGTGTGGATGCTTGCCACGGCGATAATTTCTGTATCGGGCTTGCCACCATATCTGGATGCAATGTATCACCATTCAGTCGCTCCAATCTTACCTATCGCTGCAACGGCAACGGGTACATTTACAAGAAACAAACTAGCACCAGAGCTCTACGACAAATCGAAGACGGCGATGTGTTGACCATTCGACGGGGTCCAATGCATGTTGAGTTTGAACTTAACGATGGACCGCCACAATACAAGGTGGAGTTGATGGACCCGTTCGAAGAATTGTTTGCTGTGGTACTCCTGTATCGTAAAGGAACGAAAATGACTATCCTCGACTAAACTTTAGTTCTGCTTGAAATCGACCCCAGTTGTATCACATATTTCATGGCAGTTGAACGAATGATGAAGGGGAGTTGTAGACTATGTATAACGTTAGCGTAATGCTTACCTGTATAACCCCAACTTGAATTGGTCACATTTCCATTTGCACGACTTGCCAACTGGTGCTTGATCACGTTTCGTTACAGAATGGAATTATAGGGAGGTGATTTATGCAACTCGGAGTAACCTGTCACATCATGTCTACAACCATCGAATAAACTTCGTCACAGGACGTCAGAAGGATTATTGCTGCCTATCTAGCCGGAGCAGGATTTCGGCACTTGTAAACGCATACTGACAGTATGCGTGTGAGACGGTGGACCTGGGCGACACAATCATCAAGCCGTCCAAAGAAAAGCCACTTTATATCAGGTGGAAAGCAGCTATGTCCTTGAATTTCTGTGATCTAAATCTATGTAAACCAGATTCTCCCGGCGATGTGTACTTCTTGGACCTCGACCCACATCTCGTTCGTCGGATGCTCATGTTTGTGAGTACGGGGGAGATGTCGACGCAGGGATTCACGGATGGTGGACGGGTGAGTTTGACGCCATGCTGAGAGTACAGTACCTGAGATTGAACAGTCCATATCAATAGTCAAGTGTGGGCTCATTAATACATGGCTATTCGCATAGGGATGGATATTTCATGATAGTGAGCTTGGACATCGATACATATTTGTGTCAGTGCATGCGGTTAGGCAAGGTTGAAGTTGCCGAAATGGGACTCCCAATGCTACCAGGTCTAAAAATACATGCAGAGGTTGACAGCTTATCCAGTTGAAAAATGGCTCGTCGACGCGCGTCTGCCGACTCGTGTGAGTTGGAGAGCCCCGTGTTCATGGCTGTGGGGACCCCCGAGTCCTGTGACGAGGCCCCACACACGCCAAACCACCGCCACAGCGACATGTCGCCCACGCTTCAAGCCATCCAGAGAAGACGACACCTCGAGAGTGTCGCCCAAGCTGACATGGACGACATCATTCTCAGTGGCATCGACGCCAACAACGACTCGACTATTTCAGGTGCACAACGTACAGTACAGTAGTCCTTGATTTATCATGTGACCACGTACGTAGACGCTGTCTACCGCGCCCAGTTGGCCCAATGCAAGGACGACAACTTGCGCCAGCTGATTCGACGCGTGGAAATGAACTACTTTACGCTCAAGTTTGCCCCCAAATACGAACACGCGTTCGTGTACGTGCTCCATCGTCGCGCGATTCGTCGGATTCGATATACACTTCTACTGGGGTTTATCAGCGTGCTGGCAAAGTCACTCTACGGAGCTCATGTTACGGACGGTCAAGCCTTGACATACCCTGAATCGGTACGTCCCCCTTAAGGCGAAAGTGAACTTTCCAAGTCATGACATGATCAAATAGGTGGCGTTGGGATTGGGGATGGGCATTGCTCTACCGACGATCATTGCTGCGTTGGTGTGTACCTTTGTGGAAGCTTGGACGCCGTGGTGCGAGTACTATTCGTCCATGGCGTTCTTAATCGTGTGTTTGGAATTGACGGCGGAAAAGCTCATTTTGCACAAGCCAGGCCCGATTCTCCCTCTGTTTATTTGCTTTGTGCCAGTGTTTGGCATCACGCGGCTGCGATTCCACGTCTGCTGGCGAATGGTGGCATTTACCATCGCGCTCCACTTGGCGGCGCTCCTCGTGGCAGGCCAGGAGAACATTCCCGATATTTTCTTTCAGGGGTTCTCCTACTTGGGGGGGATTGTGGGGGGGGCAGTGGCCCATTATCGTGTGGTAGTTCTTTCTACTTTAATCCACACGAATGGCAAAGTCATAAATTGTCTAGGAGGTCCTTCGACGGCGAAACTTCGTTCTCTATTTGCCTTTTTGCGCCGAATCGTTTGACAAGTTTCAAGTGCAATGTGAAATGAAAGACCCAAAAACCAGCAAGCATGAACTCCTCGAGCGGTGATTGATTTAGCGTTGCAATCGAATGAAAATGAACTCACGGCGCAACGTAGAGTGTCGCTGCGCTTCAAGAATCGGCACATCGAAGCATCGTTCAATCGTTACTGGTACCTCATTGACGGGTCGCCATTCCAAAATGTCCACAAGTGCACTTTACATCAAAATGCCGCTCGGACCATCCGGTATGCCGTGCAAAGCTCATTTTTGCATCAGCTTCTGTTGGCGATACAAGACTGGCGGTACACCTTTTTGTCTATCATTTCGTCAATATGAACACTCGTTACTGTAGGTACATTTACATTGCCGAGCAAGGCCCCCACAAAACTTATTGGATTGCTTTGGGGCTACGCTTGAGTGTCGTGTCGGCCTATTTCGGGGCTCAGGGGCTCATGTGGCGGTATGGCCATCGGTATTCCAACTACTGGGAACGCCATGGCTCCAAGAAACTGCAGAACCACGAGCAAGAGTCCATGTCCCCCCCACTGCTGGAAGCGCAAGCAACGTTGCCTAGCAACTACGTGTGGAAGATGCAATTGTGGTCGGCGTCGATTGTATTTTTACATGCGCTGTCCATGGGCCTGATTCTAGTTCTATTCGACGTGTCGGGCATCAACAGTGGCGTCGCCGCGCCTTGTTACTACCTCGCCCTGCTCAACGCCATCATTTTTCCCCACCGATCGGGTTTTCGTGTCCGGTACAGTACAAAGTCACGTCTATACGGCGTTTCAACGTATCACGTAGGTTTGTGTTTGCCACCGTGTCGACAACAGTGCTGTCGGTGGTGTTTGCAGTCATTTGCAGCGCTCTTGTGCCGGTCCACTTTGTCGAATACACCACCTACGTAGGCGTGACTCTCTCCCTCGGCATGTTCATCAGCTACGAAGAAGAGTCGGTCCGGCGGTCGTTTTTCGTTCGACGGGCGATCCGGTCCCATGAATTTGCAGCGTGGCATGCTGCCATATCGGTACTTCGGCCGCACATTCGGCGAAAGATGGCCGCCAGGCGAGCAGCAGTCGCCCTTCTCCGACGGGTGGCGGTACTGCCGTCGTCGTCGAGTGCAGTTGTCGATAGGGCCAAGGCAATTTCTGCGACGAAGATCCCCACTTCCAACCTCTTGGCGACTGCCAGCAAATACGGCATGTATTTTGACGCCGTGCAAGCGCTAGTGGCTGTGTGCATTCTCACGGCGTACTTGACTTAAACTGCAAAGGCACTCTTTGAAAGTGCAAGGTTCCATTGGTCGTTCGTTGCACAGTGAAGAACACACAATTGAGATTTATAGCAGTCAGTACAAGCTCAGCCTTGATTCTTCACTCCATATTATTGCAACTACTACAATTTGACTTTGATGTGAAACCATTCGAGGCCCACTGCGAGGACGCTCACGGCAAACAGGTACAACAGCATGATGCCGAATCCCACGACCGGCGGCGCGTACAGCGTTTGCATGGACAGGTTGACGGCGCCCGTGATCAAATTGGCAATCAAAAACACAAACAACTGGTTGCGCGAAATGCCTGTGAAAATCAACGGCACCCGCGGCGACATGCTACCACATGACGGTGTGATTCTGGGGAATTCTGGACCCATTCCAGATACGAATATGGCGTACCAGAGATGGAGGTACGCAGAGTGCGTGGTGAGCACGAGGACGCCTTGCCACACGATCCATCCAACGTAGGGTACGTTGATCTACTTTTGTTGCATGAGTCCTTTGAATTGAGATGGCAAAGGCAACGTACTAGACGGCGAGACGGTTGGGTCAGGTGCTTGGTCGCTAAGCTCGTCACCCCCCACGCAGTCATTCCAATCATAAACAGCGTCGCAACGACCCAGCGGTCTCCACGGACTAAGTGCCGGGAGGTCGTCGAGTTGGAGGTGGAAAAAATCACTTGGCCGATGGCCACCGACAGCAAATACAACGGCAAGTACCCTTGGCATTATTATCGTTAGCCGAAAACGAGTAGTTGAGGATATGAATGGACTACCACACAAACTGAAAATGCCTTCGCGATTTTGACTAAACAAATCGACGCGTGGGGCGTGAAAGATAAAGTCTGCGATGCCGTACGATGTCAAGCCAACTTGGTACCCTAAAAGTGCACATATGTACAGTGTCATTCATCAATTACTACTACATTATAGTGAACTAGTAATAGTGTTAACGGACAAACCTGCAAGAAGAAGCAGGGCTACGGGGACTGACGTCGCGATCGAGCCAAACAACGCCAGCAAGGAAAACGTTAAGTACAAACTCGCCAGCGTAAAGTAAAAGTTCCAGTGCACGCCGTACTCTGTCACATGTTCCTACGATTACATTAGATTACACAATTAAGTGTGTTCTTTGATGTAGTTCGTAGTCGAAACGGCAATGGTCAGTCATACTGTACTTGGTAGTTGACTTTCTTGACCGATACATATCGAATCACTCCCAGCACGAGCACCGGCAGCATGGGTCGTAGGAACAGCCAAATCGCTCGAAGGGAAAATCTACCTCATGATTCAATATAGTTGCTCCGAAACGAAAGATGCAACGTACGAAGACGACGCCCGCTTGGCCACCGCGCCTCGGGCATACGCCGACGTCAGTGCCGACGACATGATGAACAGACCAACGCCGCTGTCCATCTACACATGAAGCAGCAACGTCAAAACAACGATACAAGTAATAATATCAACTTGATGACATACCAAGCTCACGCCAAAGGTCTCGGTTTTGGCAAATCGGCGGGGAAAGATGGTGAAGTCCACGGCCAAGATCGCCACACAGCTACAGAATGACCAGGTTTCAATCCATCATGAGTGGGAACTTATGAGCGTCATACGTGCAAATCATCATTTGCGCTCGAAAGCACGTCACTGCTGGCTTTTCGGTCGACATAAGGAACGTCAGTTTGTCCTTGCGCGCCAGCTTCTTGTCCGACTCGCTGGCATGGCGCCACGAAAGGGTGCCAAGGGCAATCGCTCCGACGGCAAACACAACTACCATGATGTTCGTCATGAAGCAAGGTCGAATTGCATGTAAATACGTGTGGACGTACGGGTGATGGGGAGCGTGAACTCGGTGAACGTGAACGAGATCAAAATCGGCAGCACAAGCAGCACAAACTCGATCACGAGCAACGATAGCGTGCGCTATGGACATCATCATGACATGTGATCGGGCAATAGTCGACGAATTTACCTGAAGCTTGCTCTTTCCCAGCAGCCCCAGTTTTTCGACGACGACCATGAGCTCGCTGTAAAACCACAGACTCGTCTACACCAGGCCTCATGAGATCCCGTGTTTGGTGTTGATAAGCTCACATACTGACAGGACAGACAGCACCAAGGCAACTTCGCCCACACTGGTTCCATTGTGCCCAGACACAAAGAGCTCCTTTGCCTTCTTGTACGCCTCTTCGTCCACTGACATGTTGCTTGTGGCGTTCAAGCCTCAGGTAGAATGTTGATGGCAACACAACGTCATTTGTCCGTATAACTGAATCTGCGATATCCGGATGTCAATCGCCAACACAACGTTTCGTCGAGGATGGGACGAAGAAGGTTAGGCGGGGGTGAAACCTTCTGCGTCGCATTCCATAGCCTATCGCCACGATGCAACGCCTGTGGGGTCTCACACTATGGCTGATGGCATCTGACGCCGTCGTCGACAACGCCATTTACATGCCATGGCGAATCTCTACGACGGCTACCCCATCGACATCACCGCCACCGCCGTCAAATAGTTACGACGTGCCGCCACATACATTCCCCCGATGCGAGTCTGCGCGCCCCGAGGATATCACATGTCACTATCGCATCCGGGTGGTGCTTGCCACAACGCTGGATGCGACCGAAGTGTCAATGGCGGACGCCTGGCTGGCCCGCTTACAGTCGAGGACAGAGGGCGAGGTGTATAAAGTTGGTAGCCAGCATTGCGCCATATCGTGGGAAACAGACGAAGTCTACATCCCGACCATGCCGACAGACCATCCATGTCGCTATCGAATCCCGGTTTGTACGGTGTTTGAGGCCACGGAGATTTCTACGAACGCCACATCTTCGAACGTCACAGGTTCCGAGGATGCGCTTCTTCTTGGGGACCGTTTCCGTACGATCAAGTCCCCATCCCTTAGCCAACATGGCGAGCCTTGCGACGTCGATGCCATGGTGGCTTTCTTTGGTCAAGCATATGACTACCACCACCTGGTCCAGTACGCCAATGCTCGCGGCATCCCAACCGCCCAATTTTTCTTCCGCCACGCGGAGGCGCACCAGTTGTCCGAGTCAATCAACGCTTGGACAAGCGAAGACTCTCTCTTCGATGTCGACCTTCTTGGGAAATTCAACCTCCACTACGCTACCGAGTCACCGTACCAATGCGCGTCCGTCTTGGCTAATGGCATGCCCGTGCTCTACGTTGACGACGGAGGCATCCGCCGCTGCAGCTGTCAATGTCGCCACGGCTTTGAATTGACTTCCCCTGGTCCATCCTCCTTGGTGTGTGAAGAAATTCCAGCAATGGCCACCGACGAGTGCGTTTTCAACCACCGATATTACGCCTACAACATCGACACGACTTTCGACCATGACAACTGGAACCAGTGCCATATCAGCCAAGGTCATGCCATTCGACACATGCCGTATCCCACGCACAACCGCACGGACGGGAAGCTGTTGCATGTGCAAGTTACAAGCCAAAGTAACAACACTTTGGTGTTTGATCAACCAAACGTTCCGTGGCTGCCGCCAGGACAACACCGCGTCGACGTGTTGGCCCCATTGGTCCTTCGTAGCCCTGGCGTGTACCTGCTCCAGGTCGACTGGACTAACTCACCTATCGAAACCAACGACTATTCTGTGCAACCTGCCATCAAAGGCAACGGTGTGGCCTGTGACGCATGCTTGGCCATCACCGATCGATTTCGACCTGTGAGCAATGTCATGTGTCTAGCAGATGCAGCAGCCCTCCACGAGCTCCCCCCGACATTAAGTAGTAACGTGGCCATACCCACTGCCGAGTATTCTGTGCGCAATCTCCTCAAGACCGACGCCTTCGTCACAGGTCATTACGCATATGGAACGGACGTTCGAAACGACGTGTGCGGAAGCAGCGAAGGCGGTCGCTGCGACGTCCTCAAGCACACCCGCCGGGATTTCTTTGATTTGACTCCCATCGACCAACCGTTTGCAGATGGTCGCACCTGTCTGACAGACCCCGTGAATGAAAGTACGTTGCGCCGACTGCAAGCATCGCCGTTTGGCTCGGACTTGGAGCGGATCCAGTTGGATATTCCGGTGCCCCCTGGCCAATGCACTCGTTGCTGTACGTGGGAAACCACACTCAAGGAATGGTGGGTCAACTACCAGTGTCCCCCGCATTCCCCTTCAGCAGAACCACAATGCAGTGGCAGTGGTGACTCTTGCGTGTCGTCCCAATGCTTGGTGGGGTTTGGCCCCACGTTTTTTCAAGCTCGTGCTGCCATCCACCCGACCGTTCAAGCTGAGACCGAGGCGATGATGTCGACCGTGTTCCCAGATGTCGAGTACGGTCCATCGTCAGAGGTGCATGTCCTGCTCGAGTGCACTGCATTTGGCCAACGAAACCCCAGTCAAAAATGCTCGCACGGCGTGCCACTGAGCGCGCTCTTGACGTGGACGAGTGGCCTCAATGACGTGTCTGTGGTTCGAACCAAGTCAGACCAGTCGTTTGTATCTTGGCGCTATCGCCTCATCACCCTCCACAACTCTAGCACTTCAGTTGCGATGACGTCAACCGGCGATTCCAACTCCCCTCCCAGTAACAACGAAGGCAATGTGTTGCCATGGGCTAGTGTCGATACGGATTCATTCGTGCGTTTTGACGCAGCCCGATCGGTGGTGGAGATGGAGGCGTGGTCTCAGTGCGGTCGAGTGGCGGCGTTTCAGTTTCATGTGATGCTGCATCTCACGCAGGCCACGTCCACAGCGGACGCGTTCGATCAAATGTGGTACCAAACATCGACGAGGGGCGTTTCGTCGCAGGGCCTTGTTCTCCCAGAGGTGCTGAGTCCGTTTCCAGAGAGCGCGTTTGCCGAGCTCACGTTTGACTTTGCCCCTGTTATGGGCGTGGAGACTACCAGTTCTTCATGGACGCATCAAAAACAACCGTTTCCGCATGTCCCGATGTGGGTCTCCATGGGCGTGCAGTGCACTGTGCAGTTGGGGGCGCGATCCCCCGCGCTGGTCGTAACCTCCTCCAAAGTGAATGTGTCGATTGTCCAGCGAATGGCCATCGCCCTGCCTCGCTACGGCGACTCGTTCGTACAAGTAGAGTGCAATTTCACGTACAAGCACGTGTACTTTTCGAATCGGACACTGGACGTGACGATGCTGCGGAAGCGGTTTTCTATCCTGCCGCAAGTGGACACGGTGACGTTTGATCAACCTGAATGTGATTTACACCGCGTGTGTCGAGGCCTGTTAGTGCAATTGAGTGAAAGTGGCAACTCCACGGAAGTGGTCGACACCCACTTCACGACATGTCGAGCCTCCACCGTGTGTGCTCCGCTCTTCTCGTTGCCTGGAGTATCCCAAGATATTTCACAATGTGTGCTGGAATGGGATAACGTTACACTGCTTCAACGATGGGAGCAGACGCTACTGTGGTTTGCCATGCCTTTGGGCTTGTTGGGGCTCAGTGGGGTATTGAGTGTCGTTGTGGTAGTGGCGGCAGCATGGCGGAAAGCCCGCCGCGCAGTTGGCGCACCTGGCTTCGACGATGACATGTATTATTATTATGCACTGGACATTTGAGAGGCGTTACTCGTATAATTTAATGAACCCATTGTGTCAACAGTGAATTTGCAGTGTTTTTCATGGTAATCAAAGCAAGCAGAAAATACTGAAAATATAGATGAATATTTCGTGAAAACATCAAAGTCCAAGAAGTTGAACATGAAGTTTGTCGAGGTGTCGTCGACGACGTCGCGTGAAGTCCTAAGGCAACTCGCCGAGGTGGAATCGAGGTGGCGATGAGAATAGTAGCATCTCTCTATATAAGGGGATTATATGCAGAATCATACACGACCGTCCTTAGATCGTTTTCGACGTACGAAAGCCTTGGCGAGCGCATCGCGAACGAGGCAGAGAAACCGTACTGAACCCCAGCCATTATTGCAAGTCTGTCAATCCTGATGTGTATATTGTCACAGGGGCCATGTCCTACTCGTGGCGGTGGATGGCGAGTCCGTTTGTGGCTACGTGCTATTCTCGTCAAACTCTGTAATCTACTGTCCAAGACAGTTCGTTGCTCATACTCGTTTGTAGGTCGCGGGTCGCATTGTAAAAGTTGCGGTCGACCCTTCAAAGCGAAGACAGGGTGTCGGTCGAAGTCTCATGCAGGAAGCCATTGGTCGTCTGCATCGGTACTATATGACACTATTTCGTGGCTAAATCTGACATGTTTTACAAAGGTCTATGAGTGTGTCCCTGCATGTGTCTGTGAAACGAAGCGCCGCCCTCCGTCTCTATCAATCACTGGGATTTGATATCCAAGAGACTCGACAAGACTACTATCAATTGGGCGATCATGCATACTACATGGAACTGCAGCTATGACGACGAATGCGTTATCGTTAGATGGTTACGGTCGCGCCGTCAAAGCTCGATGCATTCACTGCCAAGCCTGGATCTACGTCCAACTCGTTCAGAATGTAAACACATCAAGTGCGATGTAGATACAGCCTGCAATGGTCTTACCTTGGGCGACTTGCTCGTCATAACATGCAGCGCACAGATTGAGGGGGTCCATATATCGCCCTTTCATGTGATTCGGACAATACACGGCGGCAAACTTGACGCTGCAGCCGTCGCAAAACACACACGCGTCTGGCTTTGTCCACGACATGCGCATGGTCTTGGGGTTGTAGTAGTACACGTCGCCTACACAGCATCATCACGAAGTTACCATTATTGAGTTATTATTATAATTCGGGGGGCTTCGTCGTTGATGGGGACTGCAGCAACTCCCGCAACAAGGGGCTGGGGGGAGGTAAATATCACAAACCTGAAATGTCTGGGCAAATGTACCACTTGTCCGCCAAGGGCAAGTCCTTGGCGCCGAGACAGGATGGTTTGGGGCACATGCCGTTGGTTCTCGTGTTGAGGTACACGACTTGGCCGGTGGGCACGTCGTACACCTTTTCAAACGCGCGTTCGACCTTGCTTCGGAGCAACTTGCGGGCCAAGCACACCTTGACGCCGCGTTGAATGCACGTGGCAGCACGGAAGCGCTCGTTCGTTTCTCGCTCGATCTCCATCCTCTGCGACAACACAATCGGTTTGCGAAAAAATTGGGTAGTCGACAACACACCCGTTCGTTGTCGGCATCGTCTTGCTCTTGCTTGGCGATTTGAAGCTCCAGCACCCGCCATTCCTCTCTGGCTCGCGCGCGCTCCGCCTCCATTTCGTCCAAGAGCACGTCGTGCTGGGCCCGGTCCTGCATCTCGGCCGACGCCATGTAAATGCCCGTTGCCTTGTAGCTGGCCTTGATGTGTTTGTACTTGGCGTCCAGTTTCACAAGCAGCGCCGTCTTGAGGGTGTCGTCGTCTTTGGAATTGGGTCGAAGCAGCACCTGGACCAGTTTGTCGCGACGAGTCAACGCCCTCGACTCGATCTTCTGCCGCCATTCCACATCCCGCGCCGCTTTGCGATCGCGCTTGGAGGTGGAGACGGCGTCCAACTTGGATTTGCGTTGTGCCAAAATGGCCGCCCACTCTCGTTCCCGCCGACGGACCACCACTTTGTGCCGTTCCCTACCTTGGCAGTGAAAGGGTCGAACACGTGAAGTCGTGACGCACCGTGCGTCGATCGTGTCGCGAGCCACCTTTGCTTCCGTATCCTCTCGAACCTGGTCGAAGTAGGCCGTCACTGCTGCTCGGTGGTCTTGCCGTGCGCGTTCAGCCACTTGCAGCATGCGCGTCATTTCCATTTCCACGCGCTGGTAGTCATAGTTGTCGGCGTCGGCTTGTTTGGTTATGACTTTGGTCTTGTGCTCGCGGTAGCATCGCTGAAGCACACGTTTACGAGGCACCACACACAATACAAATCCTTTTGGATTAGTCATCAGACGGACCTGAATGCGACGGACGGCCGCTCGACGATCGGCGGCGGCACACGCGTCCCGCTGGGCTTGGATCTTGGCCATTTCCGTGGCAAAGAAATCCAGCAGTTGCTTGCGCGCTTGGATGCGGCCAAGTCGGCCACGATATATGCGCTAGTTACCGCACACCCGTTCATACAACTTTTCCAACCACGACGAAACAACGACCCAACCTGGATTTTGATGGCGTGTTTGCTTTTGAGTTTGAGCAACTTAACGAATTTGAGAAATTGACCGCGATCTCGGTACAGCCGTTGTATGCTAAGCACCGCTTGGAGCGTGGTGAAGGCACCGAGGAAGCGCTGTCGCCCTCGCATGCCACGGTAAACGCGCTAGAATCCCGTCAGAATCATCTCAAAGAACTTCATTCTTAAAGGCTTACTTGGATTTCTGTGGCTGCCACGAGTCGCAGCGCATGCTGTCGAAGCTTGTCAAAGGCTTGAAAACGAGAACTCATGGCGATTTGGTCCATCGCGCGGAGGACCGTGCGTCGGGCGTGGCGACGATACTGCACTTGGTCTAGCCACAACGCCCAGTACTACAACCTTCCTCATGACCACACACAAGATGCACGGGGCTCGGACGTACAAGGCGAAGGGACTTTGTGTGGTAATACGACAGAAATTTCCGACACTTGGAGCGATCTTTGTCGAATTTTCGCCTTTGAAAGACAAAGTGCCGAATCTGCGGGGACATGAGCTCGATGAAGTACGTCGTGCATTGCGTGGCCGTCTCAAACACTTCGTGCAGCACCGGGTGGTCTTGGAGTTGGCAAAAGTGTTCGTACTGGATTTGCGATCGAATCAGCACGGATTGGGGCAAGGCATTGTCGGCTTGAGCAATCTGCATCGTCGCAGATTATGGTTAGCTATTGTACACTGGCAGGTATATGATATATATATATATATATATATATGCGTTGGTGGCAGACAGTACCCACCCGCTGGTTGATCACGCGACAACAAACGTGGCTGCTGGCGGCAAAGTTGAAAATGTTGTACAGGTCGTGACGTGTGATCCAAAGGTGGGGAGAGTCGTCCAGCAGCCCTGGGGAACTAAACAGTTGAAAGCCAAACCAAAAATACGCCGACTCAGGCAGCATCGGTTCTCGAAGCAATCTATTGCAAGCAGTATATTTGTATTGCATGAAGATACACTTGCATGACTGTCTTCGTACTTGAGCGACAAGAGCAAGAGGCGCCAATTCATGTGCAACGTGGACGAATCGATAGTGAGCTTGGAAGTCGATGTGGACGTCTGTGTGTTGGTCGATTCAAAGCAGTAGTGCAGTCCTTCCAAGTGTTTCACCAACGCTTTGGACTCGCCGTCCATGGAAGTGAACTTGGTGGCGTCAATGCCGCAAATGGTGCGCAACACGCCAATGAGGCGAGGTTTGGTCACCATTTGATGCGGAAACGCTCGATAGAGGTGCTCGTACAACGCACCAAGGGTGAGGTGCTGGAAGCGCTTGGATTTTGTCAGGAGGAGATGCTAGTATCAATCGGCATGATATTGAATACGTCATGGCAGTGGACTGGTTGCATGTAGGTACGACGACGATCAATATATGTATTGTACCAGGCGGAATATTTCGCTCCACTTTTTGGCTGCAAAGGATTCCACAGTGTCGTTCTTTTCGTCTTGGATCAGCTCCAGCTCTGCATGAAGACTGCGGCGATGGTCTCGCATGCGCACCGGCGGTGCCATGGAGGCGGCGCCTGCCAACGGATCTGCATGGGTCATGTTGATCGCTCTACCTACACATTCGGATAACATGAAGCTCGCGCCGTTTCATGATCCTGCTTATCCGGAATCAGTGTCGTCACCTTGTTCAAGTTGTTGTGCAAGCTCCCGTACCGGTAACGTTACTCCTCAATTCCTGCTTCATCACACGAAGCAAGTGTGGAGTAAACTGAGCTATCATATACTGGTACTGTACAGAGTATACGCAATGCTATGGGCTGATTGCAATGGTCATTGATGTCACCGGCTTCCGGCGAAACTGACACGACCTTGTCGGTTACATGTCATTTCATTTCAAAGTGGCAGCATGCATGGGGTTGCAAGGAGTGCATGAAGATACGCGAGTACGAACTAGCGTTTGACCTACATGAGTAATCACAAAAGTCCCCACGTGGTAGACTGGCTCGACCTTCAGCAAGGCCCCTCGCTTCCAATCGCGATGTCAATCCAACCAACAGATCAAACACCAGTCCAAGCCATCGTCGGTCCTTGCTGACATCGACACTTTATTGCATTCACTCGGGCCACTTCGACCCAAGTCCACACCTGCTCCATCAAAGTACCACCCCAATCCTGCCGTAACACAGCCCAAAATCCCATCGTTGCCATTTTCAACGACACCTCGGATCAAAGCCACTCGTAACACTCGTCGTAAGTACTACAGATACAATCAATCGCTGGAAATCATAGTATTCTAGTCGGTCCAGGAATATACGATGCATGTCGAGCCGATAAAGTGGTTGCCCGCCGCATAGTGGGGGGCTCGTGGCCATCGCCTCCACCGCTTACATACTCCAATCCATCCCCGCCAACACACAACAATCAAGACTGCTCAGACGACGATAACGACCACGATCGCAGCACGGACTCGGATTCTTCTCGTTCTTCCGTCGAGAAGTTTGTTCAACAAGCGCTTTGTCTTGAACGACCTTCGCCGCCACCCAAGACTCGCCGAGCTCCACGAAGTCTGGGATACCATTCCATCTCGTATGTGCTGGTTGATCGTCGAGTTGCTGGAACGCCACTTATGGCCCAAGCTGCGCGAAGTCGAACGAGCGTCCGTCGACTTCGCCAACGAGGGATCGTGTGTTTGCTTACAAAACGTTCGTCGTCCAGCCGCCGCCACCAAATTTGGCTGCCACCACAAGCGCATTCTACTTGGTCTCTACAGACGACTCGCCATCGTTTAGTACCGGGCTTTGGGAGTCAACCGCCTCGTCGGGCAGCCACTGGTCGACAGGAATGGGCCATGGCGCAATGTCATCGGCAGTGGTCAACTCGCCAAGGTACCATGTGGTCGCGACAGGCTGGCCGAGATCGCATTCGGTGTAAATTCAAAGGCATGAAAAAGGTCGAATGCTTCCGGGCCCCGCTCCGACGTCGCGGGGGGGAAGCCCCAAGTCAGGCAAACTCAGAGTCTGACACTGTCCGGTCCATGCGATCGCGGGGGAAGGTGGTTCAGTACGATAAAGCCCTGGGGCGCGACGATGCGGTGGGTCCATTTGGCAGCAACCCGTATGCAACTGAGAGGAGTTGGGTGTTGAGTGAAAGCATCGACTTGACCGTTGATCGAAAATGGGTCCAGCCCCGGCTTCGGGTGGCTACGATTCGAGAGCCTGCGTGGGAGATACAAAACAAGTCGGCCGACAACCAACTTTGCCAATTGGACATTGACCCTCAGTACAACTTTGGGAAGAAACGATTGAAGGGGGTGGTCATAACTAAAACTCCAACATCGTCATCGAGAATCCCAATGCAGAAGGAGCAGTTTGCACGCCTCAATGTCGAGGCGGTGGATGTCAAGTACGACATAGTGAAGCCAAACGTCAAAGGCATTGTGGCGTATCAGCGCCCATGGACAGCAGCAACTTCAGTCCGTGGCGAAACCAGCGAGCAGTGCATTTTGGAGTCCAACAACTTGGATTTGACACGGCCTCGTCGTGGTCGAGCCGTAGACATGAGCAAGTGCCAAGAGCGGTGGCCCATATCTCCACTTGACTGTGAGGATCGGTTGTTATGGATCGAGGCTGCAAACAAAGACAAGGTAGCCCTAGATCTCGCATTGAGCAAAATCAGCAGAACACAAGGCACGGTTCACATGGCGAAGGACACACTGCAGCGCTTTGTGCCTGTGAAAGCGAAGAGTTACCTCAACAGCGACTATGACACGTCCAACCAACAAATGGTGTTGAGCACGTTTGAAAATACCAACAAGTCAAGTGTGAACATGGCAAAGAACAACACTTCCCGAAATTCACACCAACTCGCTTGTGACGGGACAAGACTGGAGCTGGACGTGGAGAATGCACTTCGAGCGAGCAGCAAGTCCAAACGAGTTGTTGGGGCTTTCAATATGGCCAAACAGAGCTCGGGGCCACCACGTCCGAAAGTGGCGGGGCATGTGTTGACGCTGGAGCCAACGCGATGGACGATAAACACCCCCAGGGGCTTCGTGTCCATGACGAAGCACTCTGGACGAGAGGACCTGTTTATCCAGTGCAAGGAGAATCCCCCTCTCAATCTGTCGCTACGCAATCCTACTACGGTCCTCTCGGAGTTCAAGCGGGCACAAGCGCATGTCAACATGTCGAAAAGCCGAGGGAGAGAGGCCGCGACGAAGGCGACGAACACACTAGAAACATTGCTGTCCCCGAAAGCAGCCGCAGCTTTGACAAAGAAGGTCGCGATGTGTGTACAAATGGCCAAGGCTGTGGGCCGGGAAGGGTTTCGCTCAAAACTCGAGCCACAGACGCCGGCAGAGGAGCTACATTTGTCGCCCAAGCTGACGTCGTCGACATTATCAAAGTACGCGCGAGTCATATCCCACGTCAATATGGGGAAATCAACTGGACGTTCAGGCCATTGATGGACTGATATTATATGGCTCAATAAAATCTCATGTAAATGACCATGTATACCTTTGATTTCACAGTGCACTACCTACGGTGGAAATAAAACCAGATAGGGTTGGCCCTAGATAGGGCGTCGGCAGGCCAAAGTTCCAGCAGGAAGACCTCGACATCGCGTTCAGATGATCTCGGTGCTGAGCTCATATTTCTCATATGAAAGATATCGATTGTACATTGGGTACGTACTACTACCGATAGTCAGTGTAACAAGTTAGTGCAGGGCAAATCTGCGGGAAAAAATTGTTGTATTGTGTCATGAACACGACATATGTATTTATTACAAAACCAAAACTACAGAGACTGTCATAGCCACCCTTATTGGCGGTCCAACAACGGGTAGTACCCCCCGTTCATGGTGTAGTCCACGAACAAATCCCCCTCCATATCTGACCCGTCATCGCAGTGGGTGTTCACTTGTCGCCGCCCCCATACGACAAGGAGCACACCCAGCACAAGAAACACACAGGCGACGACTGCAGTTGACACGGACGTGGTCATGTCTTCATGCGCTTGCAACTCGAGCAGCTCTGTGGTGTAGTTGGATTTGGCGCCTTCCGACACCACGCACTGCAACACATCTTCTTCGTCACGAAGCACCACGGATCGGCCAAACACACTCTGGCACTCGGCGGGTCCGCACGTGGCGCAGCACGCCTTCCTTTGGAACGTCACGACTGTCTCGGAGGATGCAGATGTGGACACCGAGCGACCCCCGCAGATGCTGAATGGCGCGGGGGCGCCCGCCGCAGCACACTTATCGGAGCACTCGCCGAAGGGGCAGTCCCAGTCGGGCTTGTCGCAGTTCTTGATGGTGAATGTCTTGGTCGCGGGGAGGGTCACCGTGCGGTTGGTGTAGGTGCTGGCGTACGAAAACTTGCACAGGACCGAAAACGTCGTGTCGGCGCGGGTGGTCGGTAACGACTGCATTTGAAAGCTAAAGCGGCGGAGAACCGTCGCGTTGCGTGCGGTGGATGCAAACAGGGGCACTGGCAGGCGGGTGTCCGCGTACTGCACGTCGCATGCGACCCCCGTCGACACCCACGGCAGTGTTTGCGTTTGGTTGACGACCAGTCCGGCGAGCGGCTGAAAGTCAAACGTGAGCTCAGCAAAGTCACTTTGCGCATAGTTGCACAGGCCGCCCCCAGTCGTCGAGTCCAAACTGCTCGACGACTGGTACCACATTCCGTCAAAGTCGTCGTTCACACTGATCGGTTGGTTCAGGTGCTGGTACACGTGGAACACAAACGTCTTCACGATGCCGCATTGCGACCACGCTTCCAGCGCCACCACGGCATGCTCGCCGTAAAACCGGACCGCGACCTTGTCGTCAAAGCTGCGCCAGTCGCCGCCGTCCACTCGAAACCGCCAATATACGTACTGCTTTTCGTCCACGAGGATTGACCGGTCGTTCAAGTTGCTCGAGACGGCAAAGAGGTCGTGCAGTGGCGCGATGTGGCCGCATTTGCCTTGGTCGGACCGACCAAACGCTGAACATTCCAGTTGCAAGTGTATTTCCGTCTCGCTTTGGTACCCCTTGGTCGGGAACACGTTTGCAATCAGCTCCTTCGTGGTGACTTCGTATTCGGCCTTTACGGTCGCCGACGCCGTAAAGAACGTCGAGCCACGACCAACCAGGCATTGTTCCGTGACACATCCGGGATCGCTGCCGCCACAAACTTTGGCGGGGGGCGTCGAGTTGCCGCACTGGTAGTTGTGCCAAAACTCTTTCAACTTGGTTTCGAATTTGCAGCACCGGGTACACTGCCCCGCCGGCACTGGTACCGCGACGTTGAGCAGGCCCAAATCGCCCCCAAAGGGGGACTCTTGGAGCTTGGCCACAATATCAGGCTTGACTTTGTCGGTAAAGCAAGTCCGGCCGCTGTCAAAACTAGCGACTTCCGCGTACGCGGCATCAAACATGTTTCGGCGCGTGAAGCGCTTGTCGTCGCACCGCCCGCCACTGCTGCCGCCGCACACGTCGTTGACGACGTTCTTGTCGGCAGCGTAGGCCACATGTGCGTCGATCAACGCTTGCGCGGCCGCAATGTTCTTGGGTGTGTACTCTGCGACCGGTTGCGATTTCAGCACCGCCGTGGAGTCGAGGCACGAGTCTTGGTCGCAGAATGGTTTGGGGCATTGGCTAGAGCTGACGGGTCGGAACTTGTCCACCACAGCCACACACACCTCGCAGTCGGCGGCGCTGCGGTATCCCTTGGCGGTCATTTTGATGGCGTAGATCCCCGGGCCAGTAAGGGAAATGTCGTTTGCAATCGCTTCCCGATGTTGTACAAAGTAACTCCATGCAAAGCGCTTGGTGGTTTCCACGGGGTAACTGAGTTCGTTCGACCCGCCACTCACTTGGGTCACGGACACTTGAATCAAAGGTGAGCCGTCCGTGACGTTGACCGCATTGGTGTCGCCGTCGTTCGTACGAGCTTGTGCCACGTAATTGCTCCGGGGGTATGGAATTCGGTTGATCGTTTGCGGGTACAGGTTGGAAATGCGGCAGGTGTTGGCAGCACTGCGGCCATCGCTAGCCGTCGTGATGTCAAATGCGTATTTGCGGCCGCTCCAATAGCAGGCGCAGGTTTCCTTGGGCGCTGGTACACACACCCGCTTCTCGTTGACCGTGGACTCTTCATACCCACTGGGGCATTTGCAAAAGCACTGGCGGGCCCCCGCAGGGTCCACGTACACGACGGGGAGACCTTTGGGTAATGCGTTGGCGCAGTGAAAACTCTGCACGGCTTTGAACGGGCTGTGCACAAACAGGTCGGCGTCCTGCGCGAGGAATGTCGAGTCGTCCGCAAACGACTTGTGCGCCGCTTGGCATTTGGTCGCGACCGCGCCCACGGGACATACGTAAAAGTTGAACACGGTGTGCACGGAACGCTCTTCTTCGTAGGCCACGACAACATCGTGTGATATTTTGTCACTGAACAAGCTCACCACCGCGGCGGGGGGCACTGTCGTGTTCAGGCCAAGCTCGGCCATGGAGCAGTACACGTTGCCAAATGGCGTAAAATAGCTCGCGAGTTCGGTGGTGGATAACGAGGAGGAACTGGTGGCGGTGCGAGGGGCTTCGGTGCAGGCAGCGAGGAGGACGGTGGAGAATGTCACATTGCATGCTCGACCCCCTGTGAGGAACTTGCGTTCGGCAGCGGCCAGCTTTTGCATCCACTGGGAAAAGACAAGAATCGTAGACGTGTCTAAACACTTGGACACGGCAAACAGGACGTGAATCGAGCAGGGGCCTTCGACGACCGGGAATTGGTTGCATCGGGGAGCGACGATGGCGTTGACGGCAGCTGTCGCCGAACTGTCAAGGAAGCTGAAGCCACCTCGACCATCGAGGTCCATCGTGACCACTTCAGACGATGCTTGGGTGTACATGGCTCGCCACGGAGTTTCAGCTTGCTGGGCTTGGAGGTGCAGGCCGATTTCATTGTTGAATTGCACGTAGTTGCCCGACGAGACAATCGCGGCGATCGCGAGCAGGAGCAGTCGACTAGTCCCCATCTTGTATGTAAAGAAGATCGTAAAAGCGACAATGAGCTATCAGACATCGGCACTCGAAACCCAAGCTTGTCATTCGATTCGAGCAATGGAACGTTTACTGTCGCGTCTTCACCGATTAGTTAAACGTCATGTTCGAAATCGACAAGAATCAAATGATATTATGTCGCTTGGGCTCGTCCTCCTCATGATGTTTTTGCTAACATTGGATTTTCTGGAACTTTTTTCTTAACATTGGATTTGCTGTAACATAAGTTTCCAGTCTCCCACAACGTGGCTCTCCAGGATCGTATTTCACCCAACGAATGAAGATCAAGAGTACGATTGGTTATAATTCCATCCAATCATATCAATTATCCAGCGCAGCCACACAGTGTTGATTTACCTAGTTAGCCAGAATGACGAGAATCGGTGGACGTTTTCGAGGTCGTTGTGCTGGAGCATTGGCATAGCGCTTGATACTGACGTCCTACATGAACCACTCCCTCACGAGTATATCTCCCAGGGCCGGCCCTCTCAGGTTTTTTATCACTAGCATTGTGAAATCAAAAGTATAAGAGGCCATACACGTGCTCGATGCTGACGATTGAGCTGTAGTAGTATATAGTACCAATGCAGGGATAGCATAGCCACGTTGACGTGGGCTAGGACATGCGAGCCCTTTAGTAGCGGCTTCTTCGGCGAGCTCGTGGGGCCTATCCTTCTTCGTCCATTTCCATCACCATTGTACTCTGCTAATGTCACTCAAGTACACCATAGCAATCAATCGTGATGCGCTCGCCGCGTATTGACCACACTGGTGTCTACTTTTGAGGACAGTCGCTCAAAGGGGTTGCATTGTTTACCACTACCAACAGCCCCGTATCGCATGGCCCGGGTCGAAAGCGAGATGATATCGCAGTACTAAATGCGACTGGCGAGTCCGTCGCGGTGAAGTGCTAAAGCAGCGCCACTTCCTGTAGCAAAACCGAGGTAATGGGAGATCCTTCTTGTGTGTAGGCCGTTCGACGCTGTATAGATTTTGCTTCGTACTGCATGCAACCTACGATGGCCAGCAGCACCACACTGTTTGCACATGTCCATCGACTGGACTATCAGATCAAGTCGACCCCAGTCCTACATGTGTGTGTGTGTTGAGAGATGTGAGTGTTTGCTGCACACAACTCTTCCCCTTTGACTAGTGTACAGCCATTTCGACTTGTATCATAAAGTCATTGGACAAACCTTCGTTACTACGTCTCACTAGTAACGACCTGGGTCCTATGTACTACCTACTCCTACGTCCGCAAGTGGGCCTAACTCTGACCGGCCAACACGGCTCGGATGTACTGGTATATCATTTGATATTGCTCCTACAAGCATGCCATCAAAGACTCGATCAAAATCAATGACACGCACCGCAGTTTGCACCATGCCTGGCCGCTCGCTTCGGATGCGATGGACGATCCCCCGCACGTCCAGCGCGTCATGCAGTTGGTCGTCCGACGTCGTTGACACCGCACGCAGTTGTCTGAGGATGATGTCGATTGCGATGAACGTTCCCGACCGCCCAATGCCAGCGCTAACGAGATGCAAGTAAGATCCATGCAAAGTTAGGCAGCGAGGAAGGGGGTACCTGCAATGCACAACCACGGGCCTTCCGCCCGCCACCCCGTCAGCTTCAGTGGCCGTTCGGTCGGGGAGGCTGTTGAGGCCATGCACCAAGCACAACATGGGCTTGATCACGGCGAAGTCCTGGAGCACGCCATGGTCTGGCCACGTGTTCAGCTGTACGTGGTATACGCGCCTCGACGTGTTGGCTAGCCATTCGATGTTAGCCACAACGTATGAAGTGAGGTTGTGAAGACGATGTACTGGCGGGATGTCGAAGGATCATGCAGCGAAGCGTGTAGCCGCGCGCCGACTCCTCTTCATGCTGGAGCTCCACCGTAAAGTTGCCGACGTCGACGGCGCGGCCTTTGGCAACCCAGTACATGTCGGCTTTGAGCTAGGCCATTTCAATGGATATGTCATGTGATTCACGTTGTATGGGATAGCACAAACAGAATGCGCGATTCCAACGAGAATGGAATATTGATGTTGCTTGGCGTACCATTTCGCGTTCGACAAAGTTGGTGAGCATGAGTATCACGTGCACGTTGTCGTGCCACACCATGGACCAGAAGTCCTCGATGGCGGACGGGGGCGGCGCGCAGCACGCAATGTACTGTTCGTTCCAAATGTAGTTGGCGTTGATGTAGTCTCCAGCAGGACAAGACGACAATGGCGCTCGAAGGCGCACGCGCGTCTTTTCGAACGGCACCACGTCGCGGTACCGGTTCTTCTTCTTCGTGGCCGGGGTTTGCACTGTCAACGCCGCCTCAAACCACGGCGCGCCTTCCACGCTCTTTCGAATATCAAAGTACTCGTACCCGTCTTTGTCCGCTTCCGTGTCCGCACACTATCTCATGGCATGAATCGAAAATGCAATCACAGGCAACCACGCAACCTTGCGGAGGAACGTTTCAATAGCAGGGTGGTAGCGAAGGGTGGGGTGTCCGATCAAGTCGTGCAAAGGCTGCCACCACGCATGCATGTCGACCTGCATCTGTTCTTCCAAGGACACCTCTGCCTTGCCTGCGCCTCCAAGCACTGCCTTCCTCATTGCGCTTTGGCCAGCGAATGTTGTTGCTTTCGATATGCGCAGCGGATGCATCCGGATAACGAGAATGTTGGTCGGGAAGAGCCAGAAGCAAAACAGCCACGATGTCCCTACCGACGGGGACCCTACGTACACCCAAGACGACACTATCGACCACACCTTCAGCTCTCTAGTACTGTATGACAAACTGTCACCCTAGAACAATGATCACGAAGACGTCCATGCCACAGCATACCCACTGTGATTCAACGGAGTGAGTTAAAGTACATACATGTGGTCTCCACCATATTGGATAAAGTACATCGGCAATCCTGAGGAATATGGCTTCTCCTGACTGTGAATTGTGGGAACCCACCTGAAATGATGGTTGCATGAACTGATGCACAATGCGTAGCAGTAGCTAATAGTTAACGGTATCATGCCTTGGCGGTGGGGGATGGACTTCATGGCGTCAGATTTTTAATTCTCGTGCCAGTATTCCGGATCGCACGCTGAAGAATTATCCGGATGCAACATTTTGCATTTACAGTTAGTTGGCTTGATTCCCCTCTGATGTCGGACGACTGGGTGTCTCTGGTCCTGGTGGCCCTTGTGCTCGTCCTCTCTGCGTGGATGCTGTCACGACCACAACATAATGCGGGTCAAGGTTCGCTCAACCGACAATCGCCGCAGGATCCATCAGCGTCGGCGCGAGCGGGCCATTGCAAGGCGATTGTGACTGAGTCGCTCACGCCCACACAAAAGAAATTGCATGCTCACTTGCCTCTCAAAGCAGGTGTGCGGCCCATTTGTCTCGCGGGAAATGTCCTTCTAGACAGCCCCACGTCCCGTACCTTTGCGGAGGCTGCCATCGCCATCGTCGTCGACTTGATCGCAGTCTCGGACCTATTCTTGTTGTTCCACGTCCAAAGCGAGGCGGACAAGCGCGACATCCTGCATGCCGTCAGTCAAGTGCCTCAATTCGCATGGCACCCCGCGACCCAGACTGGTTTACAGGTGCACAAGATCCTCTTTTGCTCCACCGTCGCGGGCAAGATTGCCCTGGTCCGTCAAATCGAGCCCGTGGTACACGTAGAAGGTACGCCTATCGTCATCCACTATCTTGTCGACTTATCACCATGAGTAGGCAATCAAGATGTTGCCATCGGCCTGCGTCCGTTCCTTCCTTCGATTGTGTTGCTCGGTACAGGCGGTGCGCTTCCGCCTTCGACGTCGTCCACGGCCCGAGACTCCATCCAGTTACACCCGTCGCTGGAAGCGTATTACATGTCCATAACGGCATAATAAAATTAGCTCTTCTCTATTTCACTCCACCTACTTCCCTGGATCCTTTTGCATGCACTGTCCTCGCCGTCCTATGGCCCATCGTCCTCCCGTTCCTTCGCAGTCCGTCGCCGCCGCACGCGAAGGAATTGCTTGTCCAGACGACACACTTCCTCCAACGTACCCAGCACATGCTCCAACAGTCGACAGCAGTGCCCCAGCGGATGCACCACGCCATACTCTTCTGGCCGCGCCTCCACGACTCGGGTTACCTCCACCCTAGCACAACCCCCCCACCCTTGAACCACATCACATCGTAGGAATAGCATATACACGTACGGTCCAGCGTGGGTGGTCAGCACGGCTCGCATGTCCAGCACCACGCCCTTGATGGCCTCGTGGCGGGAAGTCGTTTGATTGTTGGGCGTGTCGTCACAACAAGTGTCGAGGTCTATCCGGCCCATGAGGATGGGGTGGTGGTGGACAGCTGGAAATGGAGCGGATGTCGACGAAGCCGTCGAGTTGGCCCGCAACAGACTGTACGTGCCCACAAGAGCTTGTGCGAGGATCGCTCGGACTGGCAATGGAATAAGAGACGACAGGGGCGAAGAATGCATCAACGCATGGGCCAAGCCGAGCTCGGGGGCTTGGGCGCCACCTAGACTTGCCAGGTACGTTTGTGGTGTTGCCACGTCATCGTGACAGAACGACGACGGGCTCGTCATACTGCTGCTGGAGCACCAGAACCGCAACACGCGCAAACCTTTCTTGACAGCGTAATAGTACTGCTTGCACAGTCCCTTGGACGGAGCTCGTAGCAGCACTTGAGGGACGACAACCCTCACCTCCGTGGCTTCTTTCGTGGGGGAATATGACGACGTGGAGGGGCAGGTCAGGGCATCCAAGACGACAAAGGACGCCCCTCCCGCGCGAATGAGGCGCAGGGGGGCCGTGTTGACGGCAACGTGGCGGGCTTCGTCGATAGGATCGAACACATTTGTGAGCCACGACACACCCGTGCGGGCAGCGAGAGCAAACAGATCAGCTTTGTCGACGAACGGAAGGCAGACGATGCCGTGTTGGACGCAGCTCGCGACGACCTGCTTGGTTATGTGACTTTACGAATAGGTAGATGAATGTCGTCTAGTGTACGTGGTCGGGGGCGCATTCCGAGCACAGGACCAAGTTGACTTGATGCTGTGACTTGAGCGTTGTCACAAACTCATCCACACGCTGGGCACTCCAGTGAATCGACGACAGATACGTGGTGGCAGATGGCACTTGCACTTCGACAGCACTGGCACCCAGTTGGTCGAGGCTGCCGACAAACAGAACGATGCGTTGCCCCATGGGCAGTTTCTCGTCGCGAAGGGTGACGTTGGAGTGCGACGAGAGGCGGATGAGGTACTCGTGACGCCTCGTGATGCGGGATGCATCCAAGGGCCCCATGGACAATTGAAGCAACGTGTCGTTGGCATGTCGTTGGATGTGATCGAGGTACACATGCAAGTCGGCTGGGGTCGTAGGAAGCAAGTGATGGAACGAGGCTGCCACAGATTTGAACATCCAGTCCACAGTCAAGTCTGCAAGATACGCCACGACGCTGGGGTTGAAGAGTCCAGTGAGCGCCGTGGTGACGATTGCCCTTGCAGCTTCATGGAGCTAGGACGATAACACGTGAGAAAACGATACGGCTATCTCGATGGTGAAGTCGTACGGAAGGAGAAGGAAGCCGTGTAACAGCGTCAAAGATCACAGCGGTGCGGATTGTGGAAGTATCGAACGTGGCATGAAACAGCGGACCGATGGAGGACTTGGCGGTGGCGAATGCCGTGGACCACACGCGAGATATCTCAATTCGCTGCAAGATCAAGTCAAGAAGGAGCAAGTACTGTGAGACTCCATCTCCCATGTCACGGTACACGGCCCGGACTTTTTGCATTAGGAACGACTTCATCGGGTGGGCTATATGTGATTTGGTCATGTCGGCGTAATGAAGAATCGTGTATCCCGACGACGTGAGAATGGGTGGCTCTGGTGGACAGAAGAGCAACGTCTCCGCCCCCAATGGCCCAAAGCTAGACTGAACCAGCGATGCCATTGCATGGACGACTTCATCAGCATGCAACGATTCTTCCATAGTATGGCAAATGTTGAGATCTTTTCGATGTCGCATCCGGATAATCCTTGTCACCTCAAGTTACAGCCTTCACACTCACTTATCCTTGTCAAGTAGTACGCTATCAGCTCTGCTACATATCCCGATAGCTTCTGCGTTCTTCTTCCTCTTGTCATGCACGAGTAGTTGGCACCATTGGTTCCGCCATGGTCCAAGGTTCTTCAAGTACATAGCATCGTCATTTCGTACGCTGGGATGACAAGCGAGTTGAAGTTTTGGGTCTTGGCGCTATAAAAATTCGTCCTATCCTTTACAAATTATAAGGTATGTTTTATTCAATTGCAGTGACCTTTGGCAGCGTATCCGGATGATTAGCTCACATTGGCGATCTCAATCAAGACTGATCGCCCCATGTGTACTTCGTAATTTGCGGTGCCATGGCGCATGCCAGCGAGGCGTGCGGCAGCCACTTCATTGCTCTGTTTACGCTATTAACAGGCTCGATGAACACCATCATCATGAAGATGCAGTTCGACATGGTGGCTCAAGGCACGGAACAATGCGACGTGGGCGACGGCATCACGTCCTTGCGCTGTGCGTTCCACAAGCCATGGTTCGGCGTGCTGCAAGTGAAGCTCGGCATGACGTTGTGTTTGGTCTACCTCGTGATTCGCAAGAAGTTGCTCCACCGGCCGTACTTGGAAACCCCCCTTCCATTGCACGACCCAACACACACGCACAAGTTGTTTATTGCAGTCCAAGAGTGGCCGTCCACACGAACGTTGGTGGCAACAGTCGTGCCGGCAGCCCTGGACCTCGTGCAAAGCATCTTTTCGTTCGTGGGGTTGCTGTGGATTCCCGCATCGGTGTACCAAATGAGCGGCGGGTCCATGCTCATCTTCAGCGCGTTCATCTCGGTCAAGTTTATGCACGTGCACTTGTTCCTATACAACTACATCAGCCTGGCACTAGTGGCATTTGCCCTCGTGTTGGTGTCCATAGCCGGGTCATCCCATGAGTCTGAATCAGCGCCTTCCGATGCCTGGAACACGTTCGTTGGGATGGTGTTCATTTTGCTCTCTCGGCTCGGGTACTCTGTCAACATTGCGATCGAAGAGTACTTTATGACGACGCTGCATGTCAGCCCGATCCTCCAGGCCGGCATGGAAGGCGTGTGGGGGCTCGTTCTCTTTGTCCCGTTGGTGCCGCTCCTCACATGGACCGAGCCAGGGCCGTCCGCCGTGGCCAAGATCTGGCACGAAGATTTTGTCGATACATGGGCAAAGCTGCAGCAGTCCCCGACGCTTGTCGGGCTAGTGGTGGTGTATGTGCTGTCCATTGCCGCTTACAATGTGCGTTCCACGGTTGTCTATGCTATGGTTGTATTTACAGTATCGCGTTGGGGGAATAGGTAGCTGCGAATTGGGTCACCAAGCACATGAGCTCGATCGTTCGCAGCATGATTGAGGTGAACACAACATTTGCTTGTTGATGTCATCATTTCCTTGATAATCGTTTAGAACGGTCGGACGTTGGGTGTGTGGGTCATCGGACTCTTCCTGTACTACGTCTGCAGCCGCCCAGCCACTTCCCCCAAGATGGGCGAGCCGTGGACATCCTCGAGCTGGCTCGAAGTCGTGGGGTTTATCCTCATGGTCGTGGCTACCTTGGCGGTAAGTAGACTTGGTGACTTGATGCATTCAACTAACAGTACTGTAGCCATCATGGCCTTATGAATAAAACATACTGATTGATGTCTTGTGTAGTACAAACGAGTGCTGCGGTACCCCTGCGTGTCCTTCTACCGCGATGATTTCGCCCCGATCCATTGACGTAAATACATCTGTAAAGCGTTCCTATGGCCCACCCTCGTCACACCACTGGATACAAGTACCAGTAGGTAGCTCGACGCTATTTGGATAACAAAATAGCGCGAACAGGACACAACGTGTTAGCGATCGATGGCTTATTTGACGTTCTTAAAGTACTCTTGCGAGTCCTTGGGGTTGGTCACAATCGTGGCCTGGCCGGGTTGCCAGTTGGCAGGGCACACTTCGCCATGTTCTTCCACGAACTGGAAGGCCTTGACCAAGCGCAAAGCTTCGTCCACGCTGCGGCCCACGGGGTTGTTGTTGATCGTGTAGCTTTGCAGGATGCCTTCGCCGTCGATGATGAACAAACCACGGTAAGGGAACCCGTTGGACTCGCCCAACGTGCCGTACTTGGCAGAGATGACCTTCGTGACATCAGCCACAATAGGAATCTTCATCTTGCCCAAGCCACCCACGTTGCGGGGGGTGCGGGTCCACGCCAAGTGGACTTCGGGGGTGTCCGTCGACGCGGCGATCAATTGAGCACCCACGGCTTCGAACTCCTTGGCACGATCATTGAAGGCAATGATTTCCGTCGGGCATACGTACGTGAAGTCCTTGGGGTAGAAGAACAACACGACGTACTTGCCGAGGTAGTCCGAGAGCGAAATTTCGCTGATGTCGCCACGGACGACGGCAGGGGCAGTGAACGAAGGAGCGGGCTTGCCAACGAACGCCTTGGCAGCAGGGTACTTGACCTTGTTGTCCTCGTCGTCCTCGTCATCACCGTCAAAGTAGTCACCGTAGTCAAAGTCGTCGTCGTCTTCGTCGTCGTCGTCGGCAGTGGGGACCAAAGGTCCACGGCGAGACGAAGCGAAGCGCACGCTCATGGCCGGTTGGACCAAGGCTTGCGACGCTTGGGGAAACGAGCGGACGGCGGCTACAGCCACAGGGCGGCGGAGTTGGGTGCACGCAGCACGAACAACAACAGAGCGGAGATGTTGCATGAAGATCTGGGAGTCAGAAGTGATGCACTACATGTAGCCAACCACACGTCAAATCCATCAGTTATCCGTTTGATTATCCGGATGTACATGGATCTTCTCACTTCGGCGAATTTCTTTTTGTGAACCGTCGGTTGGCACAATAGACATTTGGATGGCACGAGCAGAGAACGGTAGCGTAGTAGGGGAAATGGCGGCAAGGTTGTGAAATATGCCCCCTTCCAGGGCCGTAAAGGCGAAATGTTCCCTCCCTAGGCCCTGCTCGCAGAATTCTGCCTACTTATGGCCCCTAGAGATTCCCAACGCCTTTGCTATTGGCAATTTGAAATTGTTTGTTTCTGATAGGCAAGGTCGATATGAGCCAATTAACTGCCGCAGCTTGGTTTTTCTGACATATTTCTACAACAGAAATACATCTTTACAAAAGTATAACCTTTGTAAGTTATACTTACTGTTAATCAGTTAAACCACAAATACATACTTCAAGATAAAAATAGTTATCCTAGTGTACTGTTAGAAAGGGCCTCGATTTGTGCCCTCATTCAACAATATAAATGTATAGAGGTACTAACCAACAAGGGTTATGAAATATTGGAGGTGCTATGCAAGCAACTGAGCCGCAACCAAGGCTACGGCGAGTTTGCATGCGGTGCTGGTGGGCATCGCCATGCCGGGAGTGACAAGTTGGCCAAGTCGTTGGGATTTCAAGCTCGAATATTGTGGAGTTGTGTCAGCATGACGAAGTCGAAACACCACCATGTCGTTAAAGAGGGGAAATGCCTTTGAGTGTTGATTGTGATTGGGCATGTAGGTCAGCGGTGCACAAGGACATTGCGCACGTGTACAAAGCCGCAGGACTGCACAGCTTTGAGACGGTCAAGGCAGTCTATTTGCACCCACAGCCGTTTTCCGTCGAAAACGACCTGCTCACCCCCACGTTTAAACTCAAGCGCCACGACGCCAAGGAGGCATTCTTGCCGACCATGCAAGTGGGAAATCTTTTTCTCGTAGATATATTTTCCTCATATAACCATTCAAGTTGTCAATCGTCAGTCTGTATTGACAAGGCAAGTGGTGGAGTGCACCACAGTCAACCACATACATTTTTGCTATTCTGACATTCAACCTTCATGGATTCTCCAAATTCCCTTCAAAGTAAATATTATATTATATTGCATGGGTTATTCGTTTATACCACGGGCGAAACAATATGCCGGATATAAACAGGGAACACGAAACAAACTGTTTCGTAAAGCCAAAATATGCAATTTTCTGTACTTGGATTATGTATTCTTCTGAAAGTATGTCGACATATTTTGGTTTTACGAAACATGCTTATCCGGAAGATAATTGCCACATTAGCAGTGCAGGTCGTCGCCACCCTCGTCCGTGTGGCGATAGCAACGAGGGCAACTTGCAATACAGGTATGGTGCTGGATGGTGGAGACAGCAAAAATATGTCTCCGCCATCCAGCACCACCCCAGCGTTGCCATCCCCGCACTCCTCCAAGCCCAAGGCAATAGTGTCAACCATCAACCCTCTCGTTCGACACTGCCGCCAGGTGCTGGATGGTGGAGACAGCAGAAAGATGGCTCCACCATTCAGCACCGCCCCAGAGTCGCCATCCCCGCCATCCCCGCACTCCTCCAAGCCCAACGCAATAGTGTCAACTATCGCGTTCGACACTGCCGCCAGGTGCCGCCAATGAGAAGGTCATTATAATTATAATCATGATTGTTATGACCTTTTCAGTGATCACGTGCATCCGCCTCGACCCCGTCGCTCCATGTGTCCCGGTTCATAGCACTCTCCTCCCACCCAAACAATAGTCCGGTCCGAAAACTCAGCTCCAACAATTCATGGACGTGCGCTTTGAAGTGCGAATGATATGGAGCTGCAGATCTGACATTTGCAGAACGAGTTGGATGCGCGGCAATCTCCGCGTCAGATCTGCAGCTTCAGATCATTCGCACTTCTTTTTTCCAACTCTATACATCCCTAATGCAGCCGTGTTACCACCATCAACGACTGCATGTACCCATGTCGTTGGATGTTAAGCTCCGTGCGACAATGTCGAGTCTCCTACGGTGATGTTCGGGCTTCAAACGTGTGTGCTGTAGCTGGTAGGTAGTTTGTGGGCAGTGTGTAGAGCGAACGTGTAAGGAAAGAATTCATAGTAAGCTGGTTGCGGTAGACTGAGTTACAGTAGTACGTAGGTGTTAGCAATATCAATGGAAGTTGAGATGAGTGAGACTTGGTTTCGTCACGAGTACCCGAATGACGCCAGCACTTGCAGCCTGCAAGTGGTTTTCAACGATATTGCGTATGCAAGCCTGTGATATTGTCGGCACTCATTACACCTAGCTCAAGCACGTATAACTTATTGACCAACGACTGGTAGTTACTGCAGCCCCATGCATTTGTGCCGTGCTTCAATTTCCCTGGTGGCTAAAGGATCTGTGCACAAATGTCTCGCACCAGTGTCAATTTTGAAGTCCTCAAGTTGAGATTGTGTGTATTGCTTCCGAATGATGGTTTTAATAAGCTTTCATTGACCATACAAAACTACTGTGTTTCGTGAATTTGTTTCGTAAAGGGGTTATACCAGGTACCGATGCTTTACAGAGTACTGTCTGTATATCTGTAAAGTGCATCGGGTAAACTGATACTATAAATAGTACAGTAGTACAGTAGTAATTCGATTAACGTAATGTGGGGAAATCAGAGTTAATGTTATTGTGCTTTCCGGTTGAACTTGCCAATTGTGAGCCAATGTGAAAATCGCCAACAAATAGCCGCGATGCTATGATTGGCTAGAATTTCGAAGATTTGGGCAGAAAATGGGCATCCAACTCAGTGTTTCAATACCTACACAACTGTCGGGGGCAGGACGACGAGGTGTAGTCGCACGTTGCGGCCATCCAGTTCGTGTACTTGAGATGTCTGTGCGTACAATCGGTGTGTGCTGGGATATGGAGAGACACGCATACGAAGCCTACGCGCTCAGATGGTCATATTGATGCTGCAAGATTGGATCGTCGTCCATTGACCCAGCACAGGAAGTGCGTCATAATAGGGCGATTATTAACGCTTGTGTTTGGTGAGGGAATTCCCACCATTTTTTGTCATTGGGGTCATTTTGCGGACATTTGGATCGGAAATTTTGAGTAGAACACACAATAACCAACTCAAAAGTTATGTGCATTCATTCTACTGTACTCCTATTATTGTTAACTACTGTATCCTAATACTATTATTAAACTATCCTGATACAGTATCTATCTAATAAACTATCCTAATCTGTGAATCGAACCCGCTTGGTCGTTTTGGGGGTGCTGGTTCGCGCAAGCCGTCGACAAGTTGGGAGTAGTGTATCTCCTGGAATCCGCTGGGCTGCTTCACTGAGGCGGGTGCTGAAGTCCATGGATGGCCTCCGCATCAACCCCACCAATGTCGAGTCGCTGCGCGATCGGATGGCCTGAAATTGGCTCAAAATGGTATTCGACGACGTTGGTGGCGGTGGTAACTTGCTTGCGCACATCCCACCCTCAGGTGGATGCACCGTCAAGTAGTCGTTCGATGCGTGTCGAGCCAAGTACTCGGACGAGGTTAACCGCCCCGCAACTGGACGACGCGGTGTTGTGGTATCGTAGGATGCCATGCTGTCACACGTCGATACCGGAGGACTTCGGAGGGAGCTCGTGCTGGAACGACCGTCTTCGTCGCTATTTCGTCCGCTCAATTCCGAGGCAATGTTGAACGCATGGTTTCTCGTATGATAGGGGGATCGTCGTCGTTGCTGCTGGCATGGTAGACGAGGATTTATCGATGTCTACACCTCCATTAGCCATCAAGTTGGCAATACACATTCCAGGAGTACCGGTAGTAGTTGCAGTTCAAAATGAGTCAAATCAATCGGTGTTCGGGGTGCTCGGGCAGTGGATGCCGATGAAACGCCCTTGGCCGCTTGAACTCGATTGCTTCGTGTCTTTTCCACTGCTGGAGTAACAAAGCTGTCGACGTTGGCGGATGGTTGATTGTCTTGGTAGTCGAACAGCCACTTGGAACCTCGGCGGTGCGTCGACAGTGGTGGCAGTTTCTGGATTGCCGGGTTCAAAGACGACGGGGCTTTGGTGAACGACGACGGGGCTTTGGTGAAAGACGACGGGGCTTTGGTGAAAGACGACGGGGCTTTAGTGAAAGACGACGTGGCTTTAGCGAAAGACGACGGGGCTTTAGCGAAAGACGACGGGGCTTTGGTGGAAGACGACAGTGGCGGAACCTGCATCGATCGTTCTCGAAGCCTTGGCAGTCGAGACGATGACGGAGGAGGCGGTGGCGCTTTTAGACGTGTGTCGAAACCGCGCTTAGGGCGTTGTGGCCCTGCATACGACATTGATGCAACTTGAACAGGAGGATCTCGGGTATGTCGAGTCGAGTGATTGCGCGGCGTGAACGGATCATCGTCCAAGTCGCTCGAGGGACGCGATGTGACACTGCTGCTGCCAACATGGCTAGCCTTGATATCGTCGGTGTCGACAATGGCATTGAGAAAATCGTTGTATCCCAGCGACGACGACGACTGGGTTTGTAGTGGACGTCGATGTGCTACGGTAGCTTTGGCTTTCACTGGCCGCCGTTTCTGGGCGATTTCGGCGGGTGTAGGAGCAGAGTCATGGACGTGAAAGAGGTCCCCGAGGAAGCGCCACAAAGCCATGGAGGATGCAGCAATGCCTCGAAATAAAGAATGGACAGTTTGAGTCGGTAACGAATGGCAGACGAAAACTCATCCCAAATCATACGGCTGCACCCGCAGCTATATTTTTAACAGTGTCAACCACCGGCGATGTAGGTGCGAGGAACGTAAATGGCCAGTTTATGGTGCACTTGAAGTGAACTCGTTGTAGGATGCAGCTTACTCGTCTCTTAGGAACAGAATTTCAGTTCTGAAAAGTGCTGCATGAAGCCGAAAGGTTGAGCATCATCCTGATGATTTCATCGGCTTGAATAGATTTCAGCTTGACGTTCATTTACTTCGATTTCCAAAATAGGAGAGTCGGTTTGTGGCCCTCGGTTTAAGCTTAAAATATGTATGCTGGGTTTTGCTTATTTTTTGGTGATTTCATTTTTCTAGTGATCGCATTGGCCATTCCAATACTCAAGCTATTCCATTGGCCAATTTGAGTGCTCCTTAAACTGTCCCGTCCACCATAAACTGGCCTCTAAGTTAGCAGTTACATTAAGTTCCTGTAACGGCCACACGACATCTGCGCTTAACAGATGCAGTTTGCAATAAGCTTTCGCGTGGCTGGAATTGTTAAGAGTCCAAGACTAAATCTATGCTGAGAGAAATTTCCAAATTGCCCTTTCGTTTCGCTTCAAACCACCGAAGCAGCGCACGAAGAGGATTCACAATTTTATTGTTTCGGTGTATCCTGTTCCTGTTCCCAAATACAAGTCCTGCGAATGAAATGAAATTAACGCCAACACATTTGGTTTTGTCGGTAAATGTTACTATCATCACACAGCGCCATTTGGCAAACCGACATTGAACTCAGCGGAAGAAACCTTGACTCTTTTGCACTTGTCGCTGGTCTAGAACCTTCTACTTGGTGCGCAATTTCTTCACCTGGCGGAACCAAATTTTATATTTACAGTTAAGAAATGCCTAGTTGTGAGCAACGAGTTACCTCAAAAGATTCCTCGACACATACCTCAACATGTCTAGTGCATGTAACTAATGTTTGTAGCGCATTAAGGGACTCAATTGCTGTAATACACATCTTCACGTTTATGGATGACGCGTCGTGTGGATGGTGTGTGTTGCCATGTGGACCCGGAAAGGAGGAGATCGTCCAAGAATATAATTCTTTGGGCTGGTCGGGGAAGGTTTAACTGTTACTACGTACTATGATAAAAGGGGCTGACCTACGTATGTATATTCAGAGGTCATTTTTTACGCATTGTCGGGGGTGAAGCAGGAAACGAAAGGACAATTTGGAAACTCCTCGTAGCTACAAGATATTGAAAATTTGCTATAAACTTCCAAAATTCGCGTGGTTTGTCTAATCAATACTACAGTAGTATTGAATCACGCTAGAGTTCTGATTGATTGAATATGTTTATTGTTGTGGTTTCTGCCCATGAGGCGGTTACATGTTACATACATTCGGAAGAAAAAAAAAAAAAAAAC